ATTGCTAGCACTGCCTTCTTCATTTCATATAGAATCACTTATAAGGAAATAATAGTAAGTTACCCAAATCTGTTCTTGAGTTACTGTAGGAATGGATATTGAATATGTATGGGGAGGAAAGATGCTCACTAGTATCTTGAGCAGAGGTTAGGAACAGCCAGTTCTCAGGCCATCAAAAGGTCTGCAAAATCATCTGGTCTTGCCTTATCAAGGCACTTGCAGGCAAGACTTGAAATTAATAAATCTAAGAGCAGCATGTTTATTTTAAATTATTTGTAATAATGCCATAAATTTTCAGAGACAAGCAAGGAACACCCATTATCATACAGGACAAATAGAAATGCATGGCAGGATAGTTACATGTCCCTGTATTGTGATGACTCAGGATAGTCAGTGCCAGGAGGTCTGGGAGTATACATTTTGAAAGTATCTATACACTATGGCAAAACCTTGATGATAAAGCTGGTGATGATGAGACAAGATGTGATGAGACGATTCCTTGAGACATTGGCAATATTCTTTGTTGACACAGACAATAACTTCAACCTTTATCCACACATTTACAAAGAACAATCCTCACAAAAACTAAATCTCAGATGAAGATTAAGGAAATTACAGTACACAGAAAAGACATCATGAGGTGATAATATGAACATTGGATATGTTCCAAATCCAAGATGCAGGATTAGAACAGCAATAAAAGCACTGGCACACATATGCATGCACCCCACCCCTCAGTGGATAAGTTATTAAAACCTAAGTGGTGTCATGTCCTATAAATGATGACTACAAAGCAAAGTTGATAGAGAATGTGGATCTTTCCAAGAGAAATGGACACATGACTATTTTTATTGTTGTTGTTGAAGTCAGAGGCAAACCTGTATTCCTGGTTGGTGGCAATGTATTAGCAGTAGTGAAAAATCCATTCTGGAAAATCATTACATGATGAACTCAAAGATGGGAAGCTGAATGTGGGATTATGCAATTCAAGGCCAGTTCAGACATACAAGTTTACAAGATTGCATCTCAGCTGATGGCCAGGTGAGGGGGTACGCATCCTTCATCCCCAACAATACAGGGAAGCACAAGGAGGAAGAACAACACCCAAGCTGACCCAGGCATAAGTTAGCTTCTACCTAAAAAATGATCCTTTTATGTTATAGAGGTCTATATGCTTGGCTCCATTGGTAGAGTGACTTCTTAGCAAGCTCAAGGCCAGAAAGAAAAAAAAATATTATATAATGTTAGATACATACATACATGTAACATCCTACTCAAGGTAGCCTAGAAAACAACCATACTGTGTGGGTTCATGTTTTACCAATAAAAACTTATTTATTGAAATTAACAAGGATGTGCTTAATTTGTTTTGTTAGCCTATCATAAAAGGTTTTACTCTTTTTGGTCTCTGTTTTTCAAGTTTTCCTTTGTGTGATTAATCTTTGATGTACTTCAAGGCTTCTTTTGTAAAGCTGGTTTCCTGTAAGTGATGGTTCATGACAGTATAAACACAAGTGCTTACTGCTCAAGGTTTTGAGCAGGAGGCATTTTCCACCTATGAGGGAATTATCAATGCTATCTTACGTTCTACTGACTATCTTTCCTTCAACCTCCAGACACAGCCCATCTGTTCTCTCCCAGATCTCACTTGTTGGAGAACAGCTCATCATCTTTTGGAAAACAGCTCTTTTTTGAGGGTGGAGTCGTGTGGGGAGAGAGGGTTTTGCTTTGCAGTCCAGACTGGCCTTGGACTTGAAATCTTCCTGCCTCAACCTCATAACTGCTGGGATTATAGACATGCACCACTGCACCCAATTTCTTTTCAGTTTTATTTGACACATTTCAGTTTCAAAAACTTGTGAGAAAAGTGCCTTTTCTATAAAAGTAGCTTGCTTCCTTTCTGTCAATCTTTTTTTTGGGTCCGGTCGTGGGGCCTGAACTCTGGGCTTGGACGCTGTCCCTCAGCTCTTCAGCTCGAGGCTAGCGCTCTACCACTTGAGCCACAGCGCCACTTCCGGCTTTTTTCTTTTTGCTTATGTGGTGCTGAGGAATCGAACCCAGGGCCTCAGGCATGCAAGGCAAGCGCTCTACCACTGAGCCACCTTCCCAGCCCCATGAGAATCTTTTTTTTCTGAAAAGTTCCTGCTTTGGCCAGGTGGCTTGGCCTTGGTGAATTATACTTTAGGTACATCTTTTTCCTGCTGCATATATATTTTTTTTTTTGCCAGTCTTGGAGCTTGAACTCTGGGCTAGGGCATTGTCCCCAAGCTCCTTTTTGCTCAAGGCCAGCACTCTACCACTTGAACCACAGTGCCACTTCTGGGTTTTCTGGTGGTTAATTGGAGATAAGAGTCTCATGGCTGCTGGGCGCTGGTGACTCACGCCTGTAATCCTAGCTACTCAGGAGGCTGAGATCTGAGGATCACGGTTCAAAGCCAGCCCGGGCAGGAAAGACTGTGAGACTCCTATCTCCAATAAACCACCAGAAAACCAGAAGTGGCGCTGTAGCTCAAGTGGTAGAGCACTCGCCTTGAGCTGAAGAGCTGAGGGACAGCGCCCAGGCCCAGAGTTCAAGCCCCACGACCGACAAAAAAAAAAAAAAAAGTCTCATGGCGGGGTGGGGGAGGGGGGGATGGGGGGGGAGGGAGGCGCTGGGAATATGGCTTGGTGGTATAGTGCTTGCCTAGCATGCATAAAGCCCTGAGTTTGATTCCTCAGAACCACATAAACAGAAAAAGCCAGAAATGGTGCTGTGGCTCATGTGGTACAGGGCTAGCCTTGAGCAAAAGAAGCTCAGGGATAGTGCCAATGCCCTAAGTTCAAGCCCCAGGACTGGCAAAAAAAAGAGTGGCATAGACGTTCCTGCCCAGGCTGGCTTTGAACTGTGATCCTCAGATCTCAGCCTCCTAACTAAGATTACAGGCATGAACCACCAGCGCCTAGCTAAATTTTATGATTTTATTCTTTTTTTTTTTTTTTTTGGGTCCGGTCGTGGGGCCTGAACTCTGGGCCTGGGCGCTGTCCCTCAGCTCTTCAGCTCAAGGCTAGCATTCTACCACTTGAGCCACAGCGCCACTTCTGGCTTTTTTCTTATGTGGTGCTGAGGAATCTAACCCAGGGCCTCGAGCATGCAAGCCAAGCGCTCTACCACTGAGCCACCTTCCCAGCCCCTATGATTTTATTCTTACACCCTAAGAATGAAATTAGATAATACCTAAAATATATAGAATGACAGCAGTATGTGCCATAGAGAAAAACAAAGGTGAGGTTTAGAGATAGGGAGGGTAGAGCTTGCAATTTTAATAGATTAAGAAACACTTTTTTGAGATTATTTTTGTATAAATGCCTACAGTATATTAGTGACTGAGCCACACAGATACCTAGAAAAAGAGTGATCCAGACAGAGAAATCCATGTGCAAGTTCCCTAAGAGTCCAGACCATGCATGTTGGGTGTGGGGCCTAGCAAGAGGCCAGTATGGCAGGTATGGTAAATCAGGAATAGTCTAGTAGGTAGATGTAGACATCTTAGCTCTTTTTTTTTTTTTTTTTTGCCAGACTTGGGGCTTGAACTCAGGGCCTGGCGACTGTTCCTGAGCTTCTTTTGCTCAAGGCTAGAATTCTACCACTTGAGCCACGGCATCCTTTCCATCTTTTTGTGTTTATGTGGTACTGAGGAATTGAACCTTGGGCTTTATGCATGCTAGGCAAGCACTTTACAACTAAGCCACATTCCCAGCCCAGCTGTGTGTGTGTGTGTGTGTGTGTGTGTGTGTGTGTGTGCGTGCGTGCGTGCGTGCGTGCGTGCGCGCGCACATGCGCTTGTGTTTATGCTAGGGCTTGAACTCAGGGTAGTCTCAGTGCTCTCACTTGGCATTTTCACAAAAGGCTGGCACTTTACCATTTGAGCCACACCTCTACTTCTGGCTTTGCTAGTAAATTAGGAATATGAGTCTCACAGACTTTGCTGCCTGAGCTAGCTTTGAGGCAGGATCTTCATATCTCAGCTGTCTGATTACAAGCATTACAGGTAACTAGGATTACAGGCATGAGCCACTAGCATGTGGCTCATTCTTAACTCTTATAGTACTTTTTACTGATATATGAATTTTGTCATTTTGCTAACACTGGTATGCTTTGTGTATCCCTCATTCTACTAGAATTACTTATTCTATTCATCTTAATTTTGTAACAAATGTAACTTTTACTTCTGAGTATTTTGGTTCACATTCTGCTTTGAGGCTACGTATTCTGTTTTCATCATTTGACCTTGCCAGCCCAATATCCTTATAAATGTCCTTTCTACATCATCTATCTTAATCGATTATCAGTCATATCCACCATTGCCTTTTTTCTTTTTTGCTCCTTCTTCAAGTTTTCCCAATAAGCAAAATTTAGTAGGAGTTTTAACTACTGTGGAGAGACTACCAGGTTCTTCTGCAGATTGAGTAGCCTTTTTTTTTTTTTTAGACAACAACAACAACAAAAATAACACAAACATGGTCTATACTATTTGTATAGGTTGATCTTTAATACTGTATAACTCAGACTGGTTCTGAACTTTCAAACCTCCTTCCTCACTCCTTCTTGACAAGCAGCATTATGCCTAGATTGTTATATTCTTATTTATACTCTGAAATTTTTCTGTTACCTATTTGCCAATCCATTTACATGTAACTTCTTTTAACCTAAATATATTTTTTTTCTCTGACTTAAATGAAATAAAGTAACTGCATTAGATCCATTAATGACAAAGGGCCCTAGTGTGTTCTTGACAGCATCATACTTAGATGCAGGATCTATTGCAGAGCATGTCCTTCATTCTGACATTCATTTATTTTAAAATTACTAAGTGTGTGCATTTTAACCATGAGAAATAAATTTACTTCCATAGCTATCAACATAGAGATGCAAACATGGCAGACTGGGATGTGTAGAACTTTAATAACAGCATTGTGCTTTTTTTCTTTTCTTTTTCTCTTGTCTAACCTCTTCCCTACAGGGAATCTTTAACCAGTTTCAGTGTAGTAGTGAAAAAGTGCTTCCATCTGACACTCTCCGCAGTGCTCTGGCAAAGACTTTCCAGGATGAACAGCGTTTCCAGCTGGGAATTATGGATGATGCTGCAGAATGCTTTGTAAGTTCTGGCCTTTGCTCTTCTTTGATATGAGATGGGACTTTTTGATTTTCTCTGTCAGACAATGACTACTTTATGATGGAATTTATTGTGCCTGATCTCCATAGTTAAAAGTAGGAGTTTTTCCAGTTTCTTAGAGCTCTAGAGTATTCCTACTTTTACAGTGTATTATCTAGTGGGTTTATTGTTTTTCCCTCTGATTTTGGGTAGTTTGGTGCTTATAATTTCATAAAACTGTGGTCCTTGCCTTCAAGGAAGCCAAATCTTTATTAAAATACCAATTGCTAGACTCTACACTTAGAACACAAGATTATCCATCTCTGGCAAGTACCTAGATAATACTAATACTAATGGTGCTAGTCTGGAGACCACACCTTTTGAACTTTTCCATTTCTAAGATATTAAACAGAGAATATGATGATGCTATTGATAGACAGTTAAGTCATACTCATGACTGTAATATCCTAACTTTTCTAACTTCCTATTCTGTTCATCAATGTTTAAAAGACTTTCTTTGCAACCATTACAAATACATGAGAGTGCCAAATGATTGTAGTCCTAGCTACTCAGGAGGCTAAGATCTAAGGATTGTGGTTTGAAGCCAGCATGGGCAGGAAAGTCCATGAGATTCTTTTTGTTGTTGTTGGGTCCGGTTGTGGGGCTGGAACTCTGGGCCTGGGTGCTGTCCCTCAGCTCTTCAGCTCAAGGCTAGTGCTCTACCACTTGAGCCACAGTGCCACTTCCGGCTTTTTTCTTTTTGCTTATGTGGTGCTGAGGAATCGAACTCAGGGTGTCATGCATGCAAGGCAAGCGCTCTACCACTGAGCAACCTTCCCAGCCCCCATGAGATTCTTATCTTTGATTAACCACCAAAAAACCAGACGTGGAGCAGTGGCTTAGTGATAGAGTGCTAGCCTTGAGCACAAAAGCTCAAGGACAGTGACCAGGCCCTGAGGCCAGCACAGAAACAACAACAAAACCAACAGTGACAACAACAGCAAAACCTGAGAGTGATATACAGCCCATCACAAGATAGAAATATTGGACTAAAATCAGAGTTGCTTATGAGAATTTGGACCACTGATTCATTGCTGGTGCTAAGGTAAAATGAAATAGCCACATTGGAACACAATTTGGTAATTACTTAAAAAAAAACTAAACATTTTCATAGAATGGGAACTTCTTTGCACAACCACATAAAGGTAGTAAAAAAAAAAACAAAAAAAAACCCATAAAGCCAGATTTGATGGTACATGCCTATAATCCTAGTGCTTGGAACAAGAGGTAGGAGGATCATGAGTTCTAGACCTGGACTATAAGACCCTATCCCAAAAACAAACAAAAACTTAGCAATAACAAAGTGTAGTGTAGTGTAGTAGTACCATGTGGTGTAGTAGTTGCATTTTTAGACATGTATCCCAAAGAAATGAAAACTTATGTTCATACAGAAACCTGTACATGAATGTGTTTAGAAGTTTTATACATGTTAGTAAACTAGAAGCACTTAAATATTCTTCATTGAGTAGATAGTTAGGCAAAATGTGGTACTTCTATACTGTTGACAGAACGCAGCAGTAAACTTACTTGTGAATGAATGCATGATGGATATATCAACTTTAGATCTCAAGGGAACAATCTTGAGTGAAAAATGCAACACCAAAGGTCATATACTAGCCAGTTGCTAATGGCTTACTCTGTAAACTGAGCTGCTAGGGAGGCTTAGACATGGAAGATCAAAATTGGAAGGCAGCAGGAACAGTAAGTCTGTGAGACTGTATCTCCAATTAGCTAGTAAAATGCCAGATTGGCGATGTGGCTCAAGTGGTAAATGCCAGATTGGCGATGTGGCTCAAGTGGTAGAGTGCCAGTTGTTAGCGAGAAAGCCAAGTTAGAGTGCAAAGCCCTGTGTTCAAGCCCTATGTACTGTATAATCCCATGTATAGAATGCTCTTCTTTTTTTTTTTTAAATCAGTCCTGAGGCTTGAACTCAGGGTCTGGGTACTCTCCCTAAGTTTCTTTTGCTCAAGGCTAGCATGCACTCTACCACTTGATCCACAGTGCACTTCCAGCTTTTTCTTTTTATGTGGTACGAGGAATCGAACCCAGGAATTCATGGATGCTAAGCAAGCACTCTACTACTCAGCCATACTCCCAGCCTTAGAATGTTCTTGAAGTAGCAAAACTGATAAGAGAGAAGGTTAGTGGTTGCTGTGTTTAAGAAATGTGATTGGTCTGATAGAGCTCTGTGGTGAAGGAACTCTACTGCATCTTGATTGTTACATGACTACACACATGATAAAATTGCAGAGCCACACCCCCACATACCAGTTCAAATAAAATTGGTAGATTATCCTAATGTCCATTTTCTGGTTTTGATATTGTTTATTTATTTTTAATTTTTGTTTTTGTCGGTTGTGGGACTTGAACTCTGGGCCTGGGCACTGTCCCTTAGCTCTTCAGCTCAAGGCTAGCACTCTACCACTTGAGCCACAGCACCACTTCCAGCTTTTTTGTTTATGTAGTGCTGACGAATCAAATCCAGGGCCCTCATGCATGCGAGGCAAGCACTCTACCTACTGAGTCACGTTCCCATCCCCTTTATTTTTATTTTTTATTTTTTTACAAAAGTTAAGAGTTATTCTGTTCCAGAAGGACTGCTATTTCTTTGAGTGAAGTGCTTATCAGTTTGTCCATTTTTCTGTTAAGTGTTATTGGTGCACTGCTTTTGTTTTTTTCCTGTCAGGAAAACCTCCTGATGAGAATTCATTTCCACATTGCTGATGAAACCAAAGAGGACATATGTACTGCCCAACACTGCATTTCTCACCAGAAATTTGCAATGACATTATTTGAACAGGTGAACATTATCTTTATCCCTATCTCTTCTTAGACTTGTTCTTTAGGAGCACTTTATCTTGAGATGTGGGATATAAAGTGGCTTCCAAAATAGTTCATAACTGTGGTTGCTTATTGTTTCTTTTTCTTCTTGGCCCAGTGTGTATGTACAAGCTGTGGTGCCACTTCTGATCCACTGCCTTTCATCCAGATGGTGCATTACATCTCTACTACTTCTCTTTGGTGAGTCTCACTTGTACCATTAGGTATTCCTCCAGTTGATTGGATTTTACCATATAGTACATCCTTTTTGCCATGTTTGTGCTTTTTACAGGATCTTAGAACAATAATTTAAAAATAACCATTGTTTTCCTTTTTTTCCTATCTTATCCCTCCCCTTTTCTTAGGCTTAGTTCTGGCCAGCAAAGTGGGAGGAGAAATGGGGATTCTATGAGCTTTGGATTTTGGGACAGGTAGAGGCACTCATTGTGTTTGTGGCTGGTCAGGACAAGAGGTGGTATAGTGGTCCAAGGAAGAAAATCAAATGTGAGAAGTTTGCATGAATTAATTTTCCTTTTTGGAAGTACTGGGTATGAACTCAGGGCTTCATGCGTACTGGGAAGACATTCTATACTTGGCCTATTCCAGCCTGGTTTTTGTGCTGGTACTGAGGCTTGAACTTAGGGCCTCTTGCTCTCACTTGACTTTGAGCTCTACCACTTGAGCCACATCTACAGTTTTAATTGGGAGTTAAAGAGTTTTTCAAATTTGTCTGTCCAGGCTTTAAACTGTGATCCTTAGATCTCAGCTTTCTAAGTAGATAAGGTTATAGGGATGAGCCACTGGCACCTGACTACCTCCAGCCATTTTTGCTATGGTTATTTTTCAGATAGGGTCTCTATTTTTGTTCTGGATGGCTGAGAATCACATTCAGCCTTAGTCTTCCTCATATATAGGTTGGCAGGTGCCCACCCACTTAACCAACTATTGGTAGAGATGGGATCTCTTGAACTTTTTACCCCTGCTAGCTTTGAATTTCAGTCCTCCTAAGTAGGAGGGATTATAGATATTAAGCAGGTGATTACTGGCACCTGGCATAAATAATTTCTTTGGTTTAGCTATAATTCAGTACAACTCCCACCATCATCCCCCTCTTTCCCTATTTTGAAGCAATCAGGCTATTTGTATGCTGGAAAGACGAGAAAAACCTTCACCAAGCATGTTTGGTGAGCTACTTCAGAATGCCAGCACCATGGGGGACCTGCGGAACTGTCCGGTGAGTTAATTAACTAGAGGTAAGGGAGAAGAGAACCTTGGCTTAGGAAAACTGAGGCAGAAGCATTGGGAAACATACTGAACTAGCATTATGTATGTATTTCAGAGTAACTGTGGAGAGAGGATCCGGATTCGTCGTGTGTTGATGAATGCTCCACAGATTATCACAATTGGGCTGGTCTGGGACTCAGACCATTCAGACTTGGCAGAGGATGTCATCCACAGTTTGGGCACCTGCCTCAAGTTGGGTGATGTGCGTATTAGTTATCTTTGTCTCTGACTTCTGAGTTCTTGTGTCTTAGAATTCTTTAAGTATTAAATAAAGAGGTATGTCCTGGACAACAAATATGGCATTTTGGACATATATGCCTTTATGTTCATGTTTGTGTATGCACATGTTCACATCTATCTTTTGTGAAGGTAGCTGAGACTTTTTGAATGGAAAGATTTAGAAATGGAATGAAAGAGAGGTTAAGGGGCTGGGAAGGTGGCTCAGTGGTAGAGCACTTGCCTTGCATGCCTGAGGCCCTGGACTCGATTCCTCAGTACCACATAAGCAAAAAGAAAAAAGCTGGAAGTGGTGCTGTGGCTCAAGTGGTAGAGCGCTAGCCTTGAGCTGAAGAGCTGAGGGACAGCGCCCAGGCCCAGAGTTCAGGCTCCATGACTGGACCCAAAAAAAAACAAAAAAAAAAGAAAAGAAAGAGAGGTTAAGAAGATTACTAATGGTAAAAATTAATTTATAGAGTTATTGCATCTTCTAGTCATTGTGAGTTTATATCAGGATAGTGTAGGAAAGTATATTTAACTATGTGACGTAGTAAGTTTCAAGGACTAGGCAGTCCTGACTAGAGCTGCAATGAAAACTGAAGGAGGTAAAAGTTGATGATGAGAGCCATGTTGACAAAATAATGAAGCAATTTGGGAGCATTTAGTGGTTTCAGAGGTTTCCCTGCATTTATTTAGAGGAGTAGGGGGATGTATGTCAAACTGGATCTCCACCTTTCAGCTCTACTACTTAGTTGTAGGTATAGTCAGCATCTTCCTTTAGTTCATGAAGAGCCTGAAAGGCTGGATTTCTATTAATTTCTCTCTGGGATAGTTGTATGACTAAAGAGATTTTGTTACTGTTTTAAAGCCATTATGACATTATTCAGAATAAGTAAAGTATTTGGGGTCTTGTTTTAGGTCCTTTTCCCAAGAAATTGTATTGATATAGCCTATGTACAACAAGATCTCTTTATTTTTCCCTAAAATTTTATAGTTCACATATTCTGTAATGTTCCAGCTTAATTTTAATTTTTTCTCAATCAAATAAATTCCTCAAGGCTGGAATACTTTTCTTCAAATGTTTTTGTATATCTTTTAGCACACAGAGCAGTGCTCAGCAGTTGAAATGTTGACAGCTAGCATAGCTGTACTATTTCTCCTAAGGGCTTTCTTACCCTTTATTTCAGTGTCAGTTGGGTATTTATACTGGTGAGGGGAACTAGATTATAACTAGATTTTGAAACTGTAAGTTTTTTCTTTGTTTTTTGGCTGGTTCTGGGGTTTGAACTCAGGGCCTGGGTACTGTCCCTGAGCTTTTGTGCTCAAGGCTAGCACTCTACCACTTGAGCCACAACTCTTTTTCCAGCTTCTTTGGTGCTTAAGTCTCACAGACTTTCCTATCTAGGCTGACTTTGAACCTTGATCCTTACATCTCAACCTCCTGAGTAGCTAGGATTATAGGTTTGAGCTACCAGCAGCCTGTAAAACTATATATATATATTTTTTTCTTTGTCACTTGAGGAGCTTGAACTCAAGACCTGGACACTGTCCCTGAACTCTCTTGCTCAAGGCTAGCACTCTACCACTTTAACCTACAGTTCCATTTCTGTTTTTTGAGAGGTTAATTGGAGATAAGCTTCTCATGGGACTTTTCTGCCCAGACTGGCAGTAGCTAGGATTACAGGCATGAGCCACCAGTGTCAGGTAACTATAATCTTAAAACAGAATTTCCTAGCTCCTCTTATACTGGGCCTGAGAAAGAAAAGTTTGAAAAATATAAAGAGTATTACTGGTCACTGTCTTGCTTTTTATACTTTTGCCTCTTTTTTGAAAATTTTAATTTTAATTTTAAATTTAAAACAAAATCCAGTTTGAACCACAAAATGCAATTTGAACTCCTATTGGTATTATACCATTTTAAATATATTTTAAATTTATTATTCTATGCAGTAATAAAACAAAAGCAGGGTGCCGGTGGCTCATGCCTGTAATCTAGCTACTCAGGAGGCTGAGATCTGAGAATCGTGTTTCAAAGCCAGCCTGGGCAGGAAAGTCTGAGACCCTTATCTCCAATAAACCACTATAGAACTGGAAGTGTTGCTGTGGCTTAAAGTGGTAGAGCGCTCACCTTAAGCCGAAGATCTGAGGGACAGCATTCAGGCCCAGATTTCAAGCCTCATGACCAACAACAACAACAAAAAAATTAAATTAAATTAAAAAATTAAAAGCATAGCACATGGAAAAGTTTCATTCCAGTGGTTTAATATATTTTCTTAGGAAAATATTCCCTCTCTCCCTTATGTCTTTCTTTTGTAACAACATTTAACAATTTTTTAAATTGTTATTATAAGGGTGATGTACAGAGGAGTTATAGTTACTTAAATCAGGTAAAAAGTACATTTCTTTTTTTGGACAATGTCACCTCTTCCCTCTCTCACAGTTTTTCTCTCTCATCCTAACCCACAAGTTGTATAGTTTATTTTCAACATAGTTTGTGAGAATATTTTGTTAGTCAGATTAGGCATCAGAAATGAACCTAAAATCTGGGTGTTGGATGCACGTCTTGTAATCCTAGCACTCAGAAGGCTGAGGCCAAAAAGGAGGATTTTGAGTTTAAGAATGTCCTACTTTTTTTGGGTGGGGAGAGGAGCAGGATCGGTTGAGGGGCTTGAATTCAGGGCCTGGGCACTGTCCTGGAGCTTTTTACTCAAGGCTAATGCCCTACCACTTTGAGCCACAGTGTCACTTCTGGTTTTCTGGTGGTTAATTGGAGATAAGAGTCTCACAGAGGGGCTGGGGGTTTAGCCCAGCAGAAGGGCGCCCGCCCGGTGCGGGTAAGGCCCTGGGTTCGGTCCTCAGCCCTGGGAAAAAAAAAAAAAAGAGTCTCACAGACTTTCCTGCTGGGCTGGCTTTGAACTGCGATCCTCAGACCTCAGTCTCCTGAGAAGCTAGGATTACAGGAGTGAGTAACCAGTGCCAGGTGACTGACCTACTTTAATTAAGGAATGTTCCCTAAAAGAAGGAACAGCCTATACTAAGCAAAAGGAAAGAAATGTAAACATCACTTGATGTGGAAAAAATAATTTGTATTGTCAAAGCTCATAGAATTCACAAACAATATAGACCATGATAATGACAATGTGCCTTGTGAATGTTAAAATGTGTTTGTGACTTTAACTAAGTATCACGATTCCACAATACTGTGATATATGTGAAATTTGTGTAATCACCTAATCTCAATTTTTTAAAAAAAAATGAGAGAAAGGATGAGTTAGGAGCAATGGGTGACAATGTTGTCAGACATCTTGTATTCATATACTGTATACATATACTAGCGCTCTACCACTGAGCCACCTTCCCAGACCTAGAATGGGAATTTTTTTGTTCAACTACTTAAAGATAAAAAAGAAAAAAGAATGTTCCCTAAAAAAAGAAATTTGGGGGCTGAGAAGGTGGCTCAGTGGTAGAGTGCTTGCCTTACATGCCTGAGGCCCTGGGTTCAAGTCCTCAGCATCACATAAGCAGAAAAAGCCAGAAGTGGCACTATGGCTCAAGTGGTAGAGTGCTAGCCTTAAGCTGAAGAGCTGAGGGACAGTGCCCAGGCCCGGAGTTCAGGCCCTCACAACCGACCAAAGAAAAAAGAAAATGAGATTCATGAAGTCACATTCCACATTTATTTCAAACTGAACTTTTTACTTTTTCCCCTACTGAATAAATGTTTTATGGAAGCTGGATATGGTGATGCTATTTGTAGCCCAGCTACTATGAAAGTAGGGATAGAAAGATCTCAAGTTGGAGTTCTGCTTGGGCAAAGTTAATAAGACTATCTCAGAAACAAAAAGTTAAAAAACAAAAGGGCTAGCCAGGTGCTGGTAGCTCATGCCTGTAATCCTAGTGCCTCAGGAGGTTGAGATCTGAGAGTTGTGGCTCAAAGCCAGCCCAGGCAGGAAAGTCTGTGAGACTCTTTTTTTTTTTTTTTGCCACTCCTGGGGCTTGAATTCGGGGCCTGGGCAATGTCCCTGAGCTTCTTTTGCACTCTACCACTTGAGCCACAGCACCACTTCTGGCTTTTTCTGCTGATATGGTACTGAGGAATTGAAGCCAAGGCTTCATTCATGCAGGCAAGCACTCTACCACTAGGCCACATTCCCACCCCTTCCGTGAGACTTTTATCGCCAATAAATTACCAAAAAAGCTGAAGTGAGGCTATGGCTCATATGATAGAACGCTAATCTTGAGTAAAAGAAGCTCAGGAACAGTGCCCAGGCCCTGAGTTCAAGTCCCAGGACAGGCAAAAACTAAATAAAACAAAAAATTCTCAAAAGGGTTGAAGGCATGACTCAAGTGGCAGAGTACTTGTCTAGCATGAGTTAGGCCCAGGGCTCTATCACCAGTAGTTAAGGAGAAAAAAGTTGATAGAGTTTGCTAGAGAGGATGTGAGATGTTGAATGTGTGATAGTTCTTTCCATTTTTTTCTACAGCTGTTTTTCAGAGTGACAGATGACCGGGCCAAGCAGTCTGAACTGTACTTAGTAGGAATGATTTGCTACTATGGCAAACACTATTCTACATTCTTTTTTCAAACAAAGATCCGCAAATGGATGTATTTTGATGATGCTCATGTCAAGGAGGTAGGAATGCGTCTTCAAGGTCTTCTTGAAGTGTTTGGTGATTGCAATGAAAGTCAGATGATTTTTATTTGTCTTTAGTATTGTTTTCATAATTTTGAATAGTTATTCCATGCCATGTGTAAGGCATACTTTATGTCTTATCTTTCCTAATAGATGTGTACTTCTTTGAGAATAAATGATATCCTCCATTATTTTGTTTCCTCACAGACATTCAACATTGTCTATTTATAATTGACTCAAATCCACCAAGTAACTCATTTAAAGTTTAGAATTTGAAATATTAGAATTATTAATAGATGATAATTTGACTCAAGACTGAGATAAAATTATCCTCCAATCTTATTTCCTTGAAGTGTTCTCTCAAAATTTTTTTTTTTTTGGCCAGTCTGGGGCTTGAACTCAAGGCCTGTGCACTGTCCCTGAGCTTCTTTTTGCTCAGCACCATTTCTGGCTTTTTCTGTTTATGGAGTACTGAGGATGGGGATACCCAGGGCTTCATGCATGTTTGGCAAACACTCCACCACTAAGCCACATTCCCAGCCCTCTCTCAAAGGTTTACATATTTTTAGCTTAGTGTAGAGGAAATAGGACCACACTGATACTTAAAGCAGGAAATTTAGTTATGTCTAATCCATAGACTCAGTGGATCAAGAGGTTTAGTTCATCTATATGAGTTAGAAAGCCCCTTTTGATAAAAGTAGAAGTACAAGGTGCAAACTCTTCCAGTCTATAGAATTTAAACAGTAGAATTCTCAAGTTGTATAGCAACAGCCTTAAGCTAAGAGATAGCACCCCTCATGGCACCAAAAGCAAACAAAGTAGTTTTTGTCAAATTCTCTCATTTCCCCCCTACTCACCCTTTTGTTTTTCTTTATTATTATAATTTGGGGCAACTTACATAAACTATTTGATCATTAATTTTTTTCTTTTTTTTGGGGGGGGGAGCCTTGAACTCTGGGCCTGGGTGCTGTCCCTGTGCTCTTCAGCTCGAGGTGAGCACTCTACTGCTTGAGCCACAGCACCACTTCTGGTTTTCTAGTGGCTTATTGCCTGGGCTGGCTTTGAACCTCAATTCTCAGATTTCAGCCTCCCGAGTAGTTAGGATTACAAGGGTGAGCCACTGGACCTGGCTCATTAGTAGTTGTTGTTGTTGTTTTTAAGAAATACAAAGTATTAAATAAGAATTTTATGTGTAAATTATATGTGCTTCAATTAAAACACTGATACAGTAACTCAGTTATAAATTTACTGCTATCTGTTATGAACAAAGCAACATGCTAGTTGTCCAGTTGGCAGAACACAACTCACATCTAAGCATGTGCCTGTTTTAAGCTTAAGATGAGATGAGTCTGGGGATTTGGTTGTATTGTTTCCATGGCTGTTCTGTTAGTCTTTTTTGCTGTGATAGCACAGCTGACTCTATCACAGGGATAAGGGATAGAGGTCCAGCTGTCTATTCTAAGCAGTTTGACATTTTGTGTCCTGTCAAGTGTGAACTCTCAGGCTGAATGTCATAATTTATTCTGAGGTAGTCTGAGATAGTTCCTCACTGCTTTTCAGCTGCATGAAAGAGATTTTATTTGTTGGGAGAAAATTATGGAAATGCAAATTTTAAATGAGGTTTTTAAAATCTGATATCTATTCAAAAAATTGGTTACTAGTGATCTGAACCCTTCTCACATAGAAGAGCTTTTATGCTTTTTTATTTATTTTTTTATTCACCTTTGAGAGTTTTTATTCTTTTCAATTTTTGTTTTGGGGGGGGGGGGACAGTTCTGAGGCTTGAACTCTGGGCCTAGGCGCTGTCCCTGAGCTTTAGTGCTCAAGGCTAGCATTCTACCACTTGAGCTATAGCTCCACTTCTGGCTTTTTGTGGTTAATTAGAAATAAGAGTCTCTTGAAAATGATGCTGTGGCTTGACGTGGTAGAGTATTAGCCTTGAGCTTAAGAGCTCAGGGACAGAGCCCAACCCAGAGTTCAAGCTCCACAACCAAAAAATAAAAGAAAGAAAGAAAGAAATACGAGTCTCACAGTTTTCTGCCTGGGCTGGCATTGAACTACAATCCTTAGATTTGCAGCCTCCTAAGTAGCTAAGCTTATAGTTTTAAGCCATCAGTGCCCAGTTGAGTGCTTTTATTTATTTTTTTTGTCGGTCATGGGGCTTGAACTCGGGGCTTGAGCGCCATCCCTCAGCTCTTCAGTGCAAGGCGAGCACTCTAGTGCTTGAGCTACAGCACCACTTCCAGTTTTCTAGTGGTTTATTGGAGATAAGAGTCTCACGGACTTTCCTGCCCAGGCTGGCTTTGAACCTCAATCCTCAGATCTCAGCCTTCTGAGTAGCTAGGGTTATAGGCGTGAGCCACCGATGCCCAGCTGACACAAGCAATCTTATTCATCCTTTCTTTTACAGGGCTTTAGTGGTTTTGTAAAGGATTTGGCAGAAAAAGGTTTAACAACAACAAAAATTCATAAAGATTTGAGATACCTTTATTTATTTGTATGTTTGTTTGTTTGTTTGGTTGATTGTGGGGCTTGAGCTCTGGGCCTCAGCTCTTCAGATCAGGGCAAGAGCTCTACCACTTGAGCCACAGCACCACTTCCAGTTTTCTGTGGTTAATTGGAGATAAGTCTCATGGACTTTACTGCCCAGGCTGGCTTTGAACTGTAATACTTAGATCTCAGTCTCCTGAGTAGTTAGGATTACAAACATGAGCCACAGGCGCCCGGCTCTTACATCATCATCATCATCATCATCATCATCATCGTTATTACTGCCATTTCTTTTCCGAATAAAACAGGCATAGTGTCACACATTTGTAATCTCAGCTACTTGGAAGACAGAGGCAGGAGGAAAGTGTTCAAAGTCAGCAAGTCCCTCTGTTGTTTCTGTCATCTCTTTCTGTTGTAACTATCCTTTCTGTCTCTATCTGTGTCTGTGTCTCTGTCTCGTTCTCTCTACTGGTACTAGAGCTTGATCTCAGATGCTTATGCTCCTACTGTTTTTCTTGCTCATAGTTCATGCTACCATTTGAACTATGCCACCAGTCTGACATTTTGCTGGTTAATTGGAGATGGAGTCTCACAGGCTTTTCTGCCAGGGCTGGCTTTGAACTATATCCTCCAAGTCTTAGCCTGAGTAGCTAGGATTACAACCACAAGCAATCAGCACCCAACTGCAAGACTGTATCCTGAAAACCAGCCAAACAAAAAGAGTTAGAGTAATCCTCAAGTGGTGGAGAACTTGGCTAGCATGTGAGAGACCATGGGTTCAATCCTCATGAGAGAAAGAGAGTGTGAGAGAGACAGAGACAGAGACACATGGTCAGAGACAGATAATGAGAGAGAGAAAGAGAGAAGATTATTATTTTATTTTTATTTTTTTGGTATATTTCCTGGGGCTTGAAACTCAAGGCCTGGATGCTATCTCTTGAGTGGTTTTTGCTCAAGGCTAGCTCTCTATCACTTGAACCACAGCTACACCTCTGGCTTTTTGGTAGTTAATTGGGCTTTTCTATTCGTTGATTTTGAATCGTGATCATCAGATTTCAGCCTCCTGAGTAGCTAGGATTATAGGAGTGAGCTACTGGCGTCTGGCTGAAGATACATTTTGAATTACAGATATGCAGTATAATTAATGATTGTGTTCTTCTGGTTGTTCTGGTTCAGATTGGGCCCAAATGGAAGGATGTGGTAACCAAATGCATCAAGGGGCACTATCAGCCCTTACTGTTGCTTTATGCAGATCCCCAGGGCACCCCAGTGTCTACCCAGGACCTGCCATCCCAATCCCAGTTCCAGTCATACAGTAGGACATGCTATGACAGTGAAGATTCAGGTGAGTAGCCTAGCCCTTTACTGCTCCTTGCTCCCTACTCCTCTTTATCAGTGAGGTGGGATTCATGTACCCTACCTTTCATTAAACCTAAGATTCGTTAAGCATAAGAATTACCAATTAGTGCCAAAGCCAAACTTGTGTCAGGCTTTGTTTCCTTTAGCCTCAAGGGTATGTTACATAAATTAGTTGGCTCCAACTCAAATTAAGGAAGAAATTGCACTTATTTATACTGAAATACTAAGTTTGTAAGAACTAGTATTTAGCCCTCTAAAAATCTAAAGAAGACTGATTCTTATTAGGAGTTTAACAGTGGCTTATGTAAATTGTCAAGATAAAATAAATTGAGTCACTAACTACAAAGCCAATCCTTTTTTTGGAGGTTGAGACAGTTTTGTTTTAAAATTCCAAACGCAGTAGTGATTTTCCTTATCATATAAGTCACTTGTTTACTTCTAAGTCAATTATTTGGGTCAAAATAATATTTCCTATAAAAATAGTTTCCATTATGATGACTGAACTCTCTCAAGCTAGTCCACAGAGGTTCATAATGAATAAATTTTGGCTTAATTTCTGAAAAGAATGAAGAAGAAATGTACTTTTACTCTACTGAATCTAGAGCAGACCTTTAGTCCATTTTTGAAAGAGAAGACACTTGTCTTTAGTCTTCCTCCCTCCCTTTTGCACCTCCCTCTTTCTTGGCCCTTGCCACTTTCTTCCTACTTTTATACCCCACCCAGACCTGCTCTACTTCTCCCTTCAAATACCCATTTGTTTTGTTGTGTTTATCTCAGCTAAGTGTTCAGAAGAAAGCCTTCCATTGAATTAACTACACATTAAATAAAAGCCCCATAATTTCTCAGAGATATTAAAATGCATATAAAAATGTCAGTTTTTTAAAAAAGTGACATTCATGAGAGTGTAAGAGACAGATTATGGGATGGGTGAAGAACTGGTATGCATAACAAGTTGGCCTGGGGCTTTCCCTCTAAATAGATTTTGCTTCTCACAACTTTTTCATTTCTTCCACATACCCCCACGACCTCAATAGATTTTCTAAAAATCTCCACAGTTTTTCACAGTGGCAGGATTTCTGTAAGATAAGGGCAGAGGTAGTTGGAATTGTGTGTTTGGATTACCTGAAGTTGGATATTGGGAAGAATGGCTCTGTGGCGTCTTCTTCTCAGGCTTTCTTCTAGGCAGTTCTTACTTATAGATCTTTGTGCATCTATCTCTTTTCTTCTTTTTCACTGTTCTTTTATTTCCTCACTTTTGCATATGTGTTTCCTCCTTCCTTTAGGGAGGGAGCCCTCCATCTCAAGTGACACTCGAACAGATTCTTCAACCGAGAGTTATCTCTACAAACACTCCCACCATGAGTCTGTGGTCAGTCACTTCTCTTCTGATTCTCAGGGGACAGTCATCTGTAATGTGGAGAATGATTCCATGTCCCAGAGCAGTCGAGACACAGGTAGGGACTTATACAGAGGACCATGCTTGCCTAATTTAATTCCTATATAGAAAGTCTCCCAAGGAAAGGAAATTGGGGCAAGTCTGAAATGTTTGTCATGCATGATAGAAAGGCACAGAATGTAGGTAATTGAGTGGGAGACAAGGACAAAATGCAGTTCCATTGGACACTCTGTCAACAATCATACGTTATGAAAGACCACTGTAATGATTATCAGTATAATTATTTTAAAGTCTGCTTTCTCTTTTCTTCCTTTTGATCCTCATCCTTTTCACAGTGTCCTTATTAAGCCTTTTTGACCTTTTCTTATATTTTATATCTCATCATATTTTTTTTTTTTCCTGGACGTGGGGCTTGAACTGTGGGCCTGGGTGCTGTCCCTCAGCTCTTCAGCTCAAGGCTAGCGCTCTACCACTTGAGCCACAGTGCCACTTCCAGCTTTTTCTGCTTATGTGGTGCTGAGGAATCGAACCCAGGGCCTCTGGCATGCAAGGCAAGCGCACTACCACTGAGCCACCTTCCCAGCCCATCTCATCATATTTTTATAACAGATTTTCGTCCTGAGAGAAGGGCTTTGAGAATGTGTGTGTGTGTGTGTGTGTGTGTGTGTGTGTGTGTGTGTGTGTGTGTGTGTGTGTGTGTGTGTGTGTGTGTGTGTGTACACATACTCATCTTTCTAGGCCTCTGAAGGATAGAGAAGTAAAATAAGGAAAAATGGTTTTATTTTTGTGAACTTCAACAGGAGACTTCTTAAATTGTTTTGCTAAAATGTAGCAGAGTATCCTGTGTGAGTGGAAGAAATCAGTACATAGCATAAAGGAAGAACAGTGACTGCTGAGATGCAGAGTAACATTATGGGTACTAGAACATTGAAAGCATGGAATATTGGAATAATGCTTATATTCTGAAGGTCTTTGTAAATTAGTGAGTCCATAGCTTCCAATTGCTGGATTATATTCTGTGCCTTTTGTTTTTTAAATTGAGAATTTCAAACATTTCTTTTTTTTTGGGGGGGGGGGGGTCTAGTCGTGGGGCCTGAACTCGGGGCCTGGGTGCTGCCTTTCAGCTCTTCAGCTCAACGCTAGCGCTCTACCACTTGAGCCACAGCACCACTTCTGGCTTTTTTCTTTTTGCTTATGTGGTTCTAAGGAATTGAACCCAGGACCTCATGCATGCAAGGCAAGCATTCTACCACTGAGCTAGCTACCTTCCCAGCCCTGAGAATTTCAAACATTTCTAAGTATACAGAGTAATGTATTGTAACTATCACCTAGGTTCAATAATTATAGTTCACAGCCAGTCTAGATGTACTTTTACATACTTCACCATTCCTGAATTATTTTGAAGTAAGCCCAAGACAAATATTTTAATATGAAATGCTAAAACATAAGAAGTCAGTTTTTTGAAATCACTTAAAAACAGTGCTAGAGATATAACTCAGTAGAAGAGTACTTGCAGAAGCTTGTACAAGTATCTATTCAATTCTTAGCACTGAAAAAAATAAAGTAATAATACCTTTAAGTCACTAAACAACAAGTGTTCAGGTATTAACGTATTATATTTTTAATAGTTTGTGTTTCACTTAAAATCCAAATGAAATCTACATATTGTGATGGGTTGGTAAGTTCTTTAAGGTTATTTAAGTGGTAATTTTTGAAACAAGGCCTTGTTATTTATTTTATTCTGGCCTTGAACTTTTGATTCTTTTACTCCAGCCTTTCACGTGCTAGGGTTACAGGTATATATCAACATGCCTGGGATTTTTTTTTCCCCTTCCAAGGATCTTTCTATGTTGCCCTGAGCTCAGGTGACCCTTCCATCTAAGCCTCGAGTTCTAGGACTACAGGCTTGTGCTACCATGCTCAGTTAGGTACTTTTGATGACCAGATTTTTTTCCCTTTATAATTTATTTTTGAAGGACTAGTTTTTCCTCTAGAATTTCCTTTTATTTTTTGGTCAGTCCTGGCTTGAACTCAGGGCCTGGGCACTGTCTCTGAGCTGCTTTTGCTCAAGGTTAGTACCCTACCACTTAAGCCACAGCACCACTTCCAGCCTTTTCTGTTTGTGTGCTACTGAGGAATCAAACCCAGGGCTTCCTGCATGCTGGGAAAGCACTCTACCACCAAGCCACATTCCCAGCCCATAGATTTTCCAAATTCTGAAAATGCTAGTTGCATTCATGAATGTGCCAATAACATCTTCCTTTGTTCTCTATCTCTTATAAAATGGTTACTGAACCTAGACATTTGTTCTGATTCATTAATATTTGATTAGTTTTGCTCACTACTACATGGATGGTGTTAAAATGAAGGGTGTTTGTTTGTTTGTTTTTTGTGGGTGGTGGGCCTGAACTCCAGGCCTGGGTGCTGTCCCTGAGCTCTTCAGCTCAAGCCTGGCACTCTACCACTTGAGCCACAGTGCCACTTCCAGCTTTTTCTGCTTAGGTGGTGTCGAGGAATCAAACCCAGGGCCTTATGCATGCAATGCAAGCACTGTACCACTGGGCCACCTTCCTAGCCTTGTTTTTGTTTTTAACTTCTTTAAAACTTAATTTAAATAGTTGTACAAAAATTTAAATATAGAATAAGAAAGTTGCAAGATATAGTTATTGTTTATTCTCCAACAAGATTCTTCTAATGTTAGTATATTATGTAATCATAAAGATGGGAGTTTTAAAAATATTTATGATGATGATTATTATTGATGGTGTTCTTAAGACCACATTTCTAAAACTAAGAACCAGGGGGAAGCCACACTAATGATCAACTAGGTGTATTTTCTAGGAGACTCAGATTTATATTAAGGCTATGTGTGTGGCATGCTCATTGATTTAACATTGGTAACATTTAGTTGCACCAAGTGATTTCTTCTATTCATAAATCTTATGGGCCCAAACATAGCAAAGGAACAGATAAAAACAATAAAAGATTGCATGGAAACAACTGGTTGAAAATAAGTATCCCTGTCACTACATTGCTGATACCTGAATGCATATGTACAAGGATTTTCCTATGTTAACATATAAAATTAATTTGTGTTAGCTCTCAGTATATTTGAGAACCTAGAGGCTTTCCCTTAAACCTGTCTTCAAACTTAATTAATCTCTGGCTTCCAGTACCTTGGTGGACTATTCTTTAGAATCTGACCTTTTCTGTGTGATAAATCATACTCCTGCATTTTCATACCATGTGCTCAAAGCAGGGAAAACTACATTAAATAGCTTAGCTCTAGGCTTTCCAGTTTTTACTGTTGAGAAGTAGAATCTCTGGGTGAAGCATAGAATGGGGTTAAGAATGAGAATCAATGTTAAAATATCTTTTTTTTTTTTTTTGTCGGTCATGGGGCCTGAACTCTGGGCCTGGGTACTGTCCCTCAGCTCTTCATCTCAAGGCTAGTGCTCTACCACTTGAGCCACAGTGCCACTTGCAACTTTTCCTGCTTATGTGGTGCTGAGGAATTGAACCCAGGGCCTCATGCCTGTGAGGCAAGCACTCTACCACTGAGCTACTTTCCCAGCCTATGAAATGTCCTTTTAAGTAATCCACAATTAAGGAAGATTTAGAACTGGATTTTTTTTTTCCAGTTATGGGGCTTGAACTCTGGGCCTGGGCACTGTCCCTCAGCTCTTCAGCTCAAGGCAAGCATTCTACCACTTGAGCCATAGCACCGCTTCCAGTTTTCTGGGAGATAAGTTTTATGGCTTTTCCTGCCTGGGCTAGCTTTGAACTGCGACCCTCAGATCTCATCCTCCTAAGGAGCTAGGATTACAGGTGTAAGCCACCGGCACCCAGCTTAAAACTGGATCTTACAGCCATATATTAGTAATGAGAGCTGTTGTGGGCAAAAGCTGGGTATACAGGATAATAACAAATGTACTAAAAAAAACCCCAACAGTTTATTTGGTATATGTTGCCAAATAAGTAAAAGGAAAACTCTGTCTTCAATTTAGGAGTGCAAAATATGTAGGCATATGATGTTTTTATATGATTCTTATTTTATTTTTTGTTTTTGTTGGTTGTGGGGCCTGAACTCTGGTCTGGGCCCTGTCTCTCAGCTCTTCAGCTCAAGGACAGTGCTCTACCACTTGAGCCACAGCGCCACTTCCAGCTTTTTCTGCTTTTGTGGTGCTGAGGAATTGAACCCAGGGCCTCATGCATGTGAGGCAAGCACTCTACCACTGAGCCACCTTCCCAGCCCCTATATGATTTTTAAAACTTTTACTTTTTAAAACTTACCAGGAGCTGGCAGTGTAGCTCAGTGGTACAGTGCCTCCAGGACCCTGGGTTCTGTCTTCAATATTACAAAAACAAAAAATTACTATTGTGTCCTTAGTTCTTCTGCATTACTGGGAAAGATTGTGAGACTAATAATTGCCCAGAGGACATTTGAATTTGGAAGCTCACATTAAATACTTTATCTACTGAGAGATTCTTTTTTGGTGGGAGGTAGGGGTTGGTCATGGGGCTTGAACTCGGCCTGGGCGCTGTCCTTCAGCTATTCAGTTCAAGGCTAGCACTCTACCACTTGAACCACAGTGCCACTTCTGGTTTTCTGGTGGTTTATTGGAGATAAGAATCTCATGGACTTTGCTGCCTGGGCTGGCTTTGAACCGTGATTTTCAGGTCTCAGCCTCCTGATTACAGGTGCACCTGGCCTGAGAGATTCTTTTTTTTTTTTTTTTTTTGTCGGTCGTGGGGCTTGAACTCTGGGCCTGGGCGCTGTCCCTCAGCTCTTCAGCTCAAGGCGAGCGCTCTACCACTTGAGCTACAGCGCCACTTCCGGTTTTCTGGTGGTTTATTAGAGATAGGAGTCTCACGGTCTCTCCTCCCCGGGCTGGCTTTGAACCGCGATCCTCAGATCTCAGCCTCCTGAGTAGCTAGGATTACAGGCGTGAGCCACCAGCGCCCGGCTGAGAGATTCTTAAATACAGATTCTGATGTATGAATGCAGTAAATTTGTGGCTGTACTATAAATCCCAAAGGAAGACTAGGTTTTGAAGAGGATGCAGCTAAGTCTCAGATACCAGCTTATCTATTTCCTTGTTCTTCCAGGACACTTAACTGATAGTGAATGTAACCAGAAACACATATCCAAGAAAGGGTCCCTGATAGAGCGCAAGAGGAGCTCTGGCCGTGTTAGGAGGAAGGGCGATGAGCCCCAGGCCTCAGGGTACCATAGTGAAGGTAATTTCTCTGCATTGCTCCTCTTTACCAAACTTGTACCATACTCCAAATTGTTATTATCTCCCTTTAGCTCAAAAGGCTTTTTTCTTTGCTTTCTAGATGTTGGGATATGGGTATTTGTGATCACTTTTAACATCTATATTTGTTTTATTCTTTGTGTTTTCAGGAGAAACACTAAAAGAGAAGCAGGTTCCTAGGAATGCCTCCAAACCACCCAGCAGCACCAACAGGCTAAGGGATTTTAAGGAGACAGTCAGCAATATGATCCATAACAGACCATCCCTGTCTTCTCAGACCAATGTAGGATCTCTCTGTGGGGGAAAGGGAGGAGACCAGGCTGACAAAAAAACTTCTAGAAACCTGCCTTTACATTCTCGTGACTGGGAAGTGGAGAGTACCAGCAGTGAATCCAAATCAAGTTCTTCCAGCAAGTATCGCCCAACGTGGAGACCAAAACGAGAGTCTCTGAATATTGACAGTATTTTCAGTAAGGACAAAAGGAAGCATTGTGGTTATACACAGCTTAGTCCCTTTTCTGAAGATTCAGGTGAGGAGATAATCAGGGAAAACAGTTATTTGTATGTGTTCTGGTAGACCTGGAAAGGAGTATTTTCACTCTGATATCAAAGTAAATAAATGTCTGGATGGTAGAGTGATTAGTTAGATCTTTATTTAGGCAAATGTTAAATCTATCTTGTCCTCTTATCTGGATAGCTAAAGAATTTACACCAGATGAACTAAGGAAGCCACCTGCTTACAACATTAAAGCTGGTGGATCAAGCTCCCAGCACAAACCCTGGGGTCAACCATGGCCAGGCTCTCACCTTTTAGATCAACATCCACGCTTAATCCAGAGAATGGAATCTGGCTATGAAAGCAGTGAGAGGAACAGCAGCAGCCCTGTCAGCCTGGATGTAGCACTACCAGAGAGTTCAAACATCTGCAGGTATTGTTTTATCTTTGAATAAAGGCATTGTCCCATGCAGCAAAGTGAGTTATTTCTTTGGAGCTCTCAACCATGGCTTAGACAGTAGAAAGATGGGCTTCAGCCCCATCTGTTCATACACGTTCCCAGCTTTTGTAGCAGCAGCACTTTCTGCTGAAAGGAAGATTCAAGGCACTTGAGAAAGGAAAAAGTTAAGTAGAAAGTAATTGTTTAGTGCTCAGCAGTACATACAGAGAAGATAAACCATAGCTCTTTGATGAAGGGTTATGTGCAAACTAGTGAAATGTTTCACATTTTTCAGGTATGTAGGATGAACAAATCTAGAGATCTAATATATAACATGAGGAATATTGGGATTAAAATTATACTATTATGAAATTGATGTTAAATGAAATTTTAGCTGCTTTTGCTACAAAATGTACAAGAGTAGCTGAGATGATAGATATGTTAATTTTGCTTTACTTATAGTATTTTTTATTATCTATATTTTTACTGTCTATCATACTTATAGTATTTTTTTACTATCTATATTTTTACTATACATACCTGGTCTAATTTATTTTGTTTGATGTTACTGGGATTTGAATTTAACCTTGCACTTGCTTGACAGGCATTCTACCACTTAAGCCAAGCCCCAGTCTTTTTTCGCTTGTTATTTTTATATAAACTCTTGCCTTTTTACTGGGGCTGGCTTTGGCCTTGATCCTCCTTTCTAAAACTTTGTGTAGGTAGAGTCATACCACCACATGAGGCTTAGTAAAAATGTATTTTAAAAAATTATACTAGCCGGGGCTGGGAAGGTGGCTCAGTGGTAGAGCGCTTGCCTTGCATGCCAGAGGCCCTGGCTTCGATTCCTCAGCACCACATAAGCAAAAAGAAAAAAGCCAGAAGTGGCGCTGTGGCTCAAGTGGTAGAGCGCCAGCCTTGAGCTGAAGAGCTGAGGGACAGCGCCCAGGCCCAGAGTTAAGGCCCCACTACTGGACCCAAAAAATAAAAAATAAAAATTATACTAGCCGGACGCCAGTGGCTTACACCTGTAATCCTAGCTACTCAGGAGGCTGAGATCTGAGGATCATGGTTCAAAGCAAGCCCAAGCAGGAAAAGTTTGTGAGACACTTATCTCCTATAAACCACTCAGAAAATAAGAAGTGGTGCTGTGGCTCAAGTGGTAGAGTGCTTGCCTTGAGCTGAAGAGCTGAGGGATAGCACCGAAGCCCAGAGCTCAAGCCCCATGATGACCACCACCACCACCACCACCACCACCACCAAATATATATATATATATATATATATATATAATAGTTTTCAAGGAAAGAATGAGTTAGTGAATCAAATTTGTAATCTTAAAATCAGAGAAGAAACCCAAATGTTACTTATTCTTGCCTTCTATTTGGAGGTAGTTTTTGTTTTGCTTTGAATCATTGAAGAGTTATATTGTATGAACCAAAGATATTCATAATTCCATAAGAAAATGATGACAGTTTAATAGAGCTCATTATTCCTTTCCAAAGATGTATTTGCTTCAGATCTCCATATATTGTTTTTAATTGGTTTGTCACAGAGGTAATTTTCCATTATATTGCCTTGAAAGGAATAATTATATCTTCTGAAAGGATAATATATCCTCTTTCCTCCCTGATGTTCTTCCCTGGATATAGGACCCTGTTTAGTTTTACTCATGAGAAGATGCAACAAATATTTTGCAAGATGGACAGGGGAAATAGCTCAGTAGGTTCCTTACTTTCCTACCATGTATAAGGCTTTAAGTTTGATCCCTAGCACCAGAAAAAAAAATAAGAAGAACAAGGAAAAGAATACAATGAAAATAATATAGTCATTATTCATTTAATAAATTTTAATGTTTACTACATACCATAAACTATGTTGTATTTATAAGATGTGAATGAGGTAGCATAAGATAGGGAAATCAGTGACTATTTCAGTTTTCCAATAGTTTAGCAGAGGCACTTAAAAAAAAATTAGAGTGGGTCTTGCTAGTTGCACAGGTTGGCCTCAAACAATCCTCCTGCCTTAGCCTCCTGAGTAGCTAGGACTGTAGTTGAACATCAGGACACCCAGATCCTAGAAGCTTTAATTGTATTAGTTTGATGCTTTCTGGAGGATATGCTGGGAACCACCTTTCCAATGCTTTTATGAGACTGTTTTCTCTTTTGAAGGGATGCTAAGAAATCAGCTGGGTTTGTCCCTTCTTGGCGTCATATCCCAAAGTCTCACAGCAGCAGCATCCTGGAGGTAGATTCCACAGCATCCATGAGTGGCTGGACAAAGACACAACCCCTTTCAGGTAAGAAGAAGGACACTGGATTTGAGAGACTGGATTGCATCACCAGTTCTAATTGAGGAATAGCTTTAACCTGAGTACATTTATAATTAGAGGCCAGTTGCAGTTTGGGTATTCTATCAACATATAAATGTAGAGGCATTTCAGCTGCTCCATTTTTGGATTTCCTGATTTTTTGTTTTCTATCACAGCTTGCCTATGTGTTTTTATCTTGGATAGAACCCCGTGGGAACAAGAAGGAGCAGATATATGATGAATGTTGTTTTTTTAAAAACAGCTCCATTCCTAAGACGAAGTTTTAGGGCTTTCCTTGGTATAGAGGCAGCCTGTAGAGAAATAAAGTTCTTATTGATTAATGCTATAAATTGAGATGTAAAAGGGGGATGGACATGCAGGCTGTGGACAAAACTGGGAAATAAGTAATTCAAATTTAACCTTTACCCCTGCTTTTATTCTAATGTAATTTCCAATTGTCTTGATAGTTAATTAAAATTCTTAGAAGTGGTTAGAAGGGTGTATCAAAAGGTCTGAACACCTTTTAGGTATGCTGCCATCTGCTGGAGAAGAGCAGTGCCTGCTTTAAGCAGGCTCCCTCCCTCTCTTCTTCCCTCCCTCTTTTGTGGGTCGTAAGGCCTGAGCTTTTCTGTTCAAGACTAGTACTCTACTACTTTGAGCCACAGCTCTGCTTCCATTTTTTTCTGGTGGTTAATTGGAGATAAGAGTCTCACAGACTTTCCTGAAGGCTTTGAACTACAATCCTCAGATCTCAGCCTCCTGAGTATTACAAGCATAAGCTACCAACACCTAGATGGTAGGTAACTTTCTGGGTTAGAGTAAGTTAAAGTTAGAGACTAGTGTAAGAAATTCATTTTTTCCCAGTGAAATTATACATTTGGCTTATTTGTCACAATTTATGTCATGTTCAGTAATACTACTTAAAAATTACAACTTGTGCTCATATATATGTCTATTATACCTTATCTTCTATTTAGAGTGCTAGTATTATTCTAATATTATACTGCAACTTGTGATTTCCCTATTAGTCCTCAATTCTGGACCATCTAGACAGAATCCACCAATAGGATTCTACAATTGGTACAAGATACTTAAAAAAGAGTTATAACAAAATACTCCATACACCATATTGCTTCACCATTCTCTTATATAATAACCCTTATATACCTTACAATTTGATATAATCATTTTATTAAAACACAGAACAAAAATTTTTATACAATGACTGATTAGTATTTTTTAAAAGTACAAAAATAAGTCAAGCTCAGCATAACTTGCCCTTTACCTCCTATAATTTAAGGAATCAATGTTACCATTATGGTATGTATTTTTCTACCTCTTTTTCTATGCTTTTACAAATATACAGGTACATTTAAGTATATACATAATGGCCAGTACTATTTTTACAATATAAAATGAAATCATACTATGTATACTATTATCCCATAAAATTTTCACTTAATTTCTCATGAAGAGCACACTAATTCTTTTTTTTTTTTTTTGTCAATTGTGGGGCTTGAACTCTGAGCTTGGGCGCTGTCCCTGCACTCTTCAGCTCAAGGCGAGTACTCTACCTCTTGAACCACAGCACCACTTCCAGTTTTCTAGTGGTTTATTGGAGATCAGAGTCTCACAGACTTTTCTGCCTGGGCTTGCTTTGAACCATGATCCTCAAATCTCAGCCTCCTGAGTAGCTAGGATTACAGGCATGAGCCACCGGTGCCAGGCACAGCACACGAATTCTATTAGACCCATCTATGAACATTTCAAAGTGAATTTTTACTACTATGGGTAGATGTTTTACTAACTTACTAAGAAGATGATAGAAATTAAGGGTGAGAAAATGGCCTGCCTGAAGCTACCAGTGAGCCAGTGGCAATACCTGGTAGAGACTGATGGGTGAATGAATTTGCCCTACTTGACTTGACATCAGTTCTACCCTTTGCCTTCTGTGTTATCTTTTTGTCTTTCAATTTTCTCATTTCCTAAAATGTGAGTAATATCTACCTTATCAGTTACAAGAATTAAACCATGCTGGTTGATGGTGGCTCACGCCTATTATCCTAGCTACTCAGGAGGCTGAGGTCTGAGGATCACAGTTCAAAGCCAGCACAGGCAGGAATGTCTTTGAGACTCTTATCTCCAATAAACCACTGGAAAACTGGAAGTGGAGCTGTGGCTCAAGTGGTAGAGCACTAGCTTTGAGCTGAAGAGCTGAGGGACCAGGACCCATGACTCCCCCTCCCCACCCCCCCAAAAAAAACCCAACTGTTTCTGATACATGCTTAGCAAGTGTTAAGTATTATGTTGTTACTGTTGTTATGAAGCATCCAAAAATATTTTTTATTGTTGTTGTTATTCATGGCCCAGATTCCACCTTGAATCTGATTTGGAAAACACTATTCAAAACATGAACTTCAAGTTAAATTCGAGAGTTTTTAAGGAAAAATGCATAGTGACCTTAAATTCTGCAGATGCTTCATCTGAATTATAGAAATGTAAATTTATCTTCTTTCTTGTTTTCCCAGGTGGAGAGATACCTTCTAAAACTGAACTAGATGAATTACAGGAAGAGGTGGCGAGGAGGGCTCAAGAACAGGAACTTCGAAGAAAACGGGAAAAGGAGCTAGAAGCTGCTAAAGGGTTTAATCCTCATCCCAGCCGTTTTATGGACTTGGATGAACTGCAAAATCAGGGTAATTGTGAGAATTAGGTTGAGGGTAATAGGACAGAGAGAACAGGTAGGAGAAAAGATTCAATCTTGCAAATTTCATGTCTTCTCTTAACACAAAATTATATTTTATTCTAATTCAACCATTTATTGAAAGCTAAAGTAGATGACAAGCCTACTGATTGTGAGTAGGCACTGATTTGGGGTACTTTTATTCAGTCTTAAATTGAAGATAGTGTATTATTCATGAAAAATGTTTTCCATAAACATCTGTAGAAACAGCTGATAAGGGCAGCAAGTGAGCCCCACTTGCAGTGAAGGGAATTCACCATGTCAGGGAAGAGGATTTGATAAACAGAGGCTGAGGACATTAAAGCCTCAGCTTTATTTATTTATTATTTTTTGTTTGTTATAGGGCTTGAACTTAGGGCCTAGGCACTGTCTCTGAGCTTCTTTGCTCAAGGCTAGCACTGTACCACTTTGAGCCACAGCACCACTTCCTGTTTTTGAGTAGTTAATGGGAGATGAGTGTCTTAAGGGACTTTTTTGACCAGGCTGGTGGCTTTGAATCAAGAGCCTCAGATCTCAGCCTCCTGAGTAGCTAGGATTACAGATGTGAGCCACCAGTGCCCAAAAGTCAGCTTTATTTATATTTGTTTATCTTTTTAAATGCATTACTATGGATTAAACAAAGCATTCTACCATTGTGCTACATTCAGAGTCTTCAGATATAACAAATCATGTTAAAGTGGTATAAAAGATAGGAGTCAGTGCTGTTTGGGTAGTTGCCTTCTCTTGGATATTTTTCTCTTCTTATATAGGTATTTAAAGTAGTTTTCTTCTCTGAATAGTAGTCCTATTTTGGGGCAGCTTTTCTCCTCTAATCCTGCTGTCTTTTTTTCTCCTATTCGTCCCTCTACCTCCTTTTTTTGTTGTGCTGAGGATTGAACCAAGGTCCTCAAATATGTCAGGCAGCCATTCTACCACTAACCTTCATCCCTAGTCCTCTTACTGTTTTATTTTTGTTTTTGTTTTTTGGGTCCGGTCATGGGGCCTGAACTCTGGACCTAGGCGCTGTCCCTCAGCTCTTCAGCTCAAGGCTAGCGCTCTACCTCTTGAGCCACAGCGCCACTTCTGGCTTTTTTCTTTTTTTGCTTATGTGATGCTGAGGAATCAAACCCAGGGCCTCATGCATGCCAAGCACTCTGCCACTGAGCCACCTTCCCAGCCCCTTTTCCTGTTTTTTTTATTTAAGGCAATTGGTATCTTATATTTTCCAAGACATTGTATTTGTATCAAAATGAGCTTTAAACTCCAAAATCCCAAGCTGTCTCTCTCCTTTTTGGTCTAGAGCTGTATCACTTTGGTTTCCAGATTTATGTTATTTCTAGGTAGGCACTCTGCTGCTTGAACCATGCCTCCCACCCAAGTTTCTTTTTTTTTTTTTTTTTGGGTCCAGTCATGGGGCCTGAACTCTGGGCCTGAGCGCTGTCCCTCAGCTCTTCAGCTCAAGGCTAGCGCTCTACCACTTGAGCCACAGCGCCACTTCCGGCTTTTTTTTTTCTTTTTGCTTATGTGGTGCTGAGGAATCGAACCCAGGGCCTCAGGCATGCAAAACAAGCACTCTACCACTGAGCCACCTTCCTAGCCCCCACCCAAGTTTCTTTAACTACCCTTTCCCCCTTGTCTTTTCTTTCCTCCAGCAGGTAAGCAGTACATTAAAATTGAGAGGGAATCCCACTGACAATTATATTATTTTTAATTCTCTATAATTTTGGTTCAGCATTTCCTGGAAAAAGAAGATATTGAAATCCAAGATTCTGGATGATAAGAATTTTGTAATTGATCAATTGTAGTTCACCTAGATCTTTGTAAAATTGTTGGGGACTTTTTTCTTTTAGTCAAGGTCTTACTATATATATAGCTTAGACTAGTCTTGAACTCATGATCCTTCTGCCTTGGCCTCCTGAGAGTTGAGAGCTGCTGTTGCTGCTGCTGCTTCTGCTTCTGCTGCTGCTTCTGCTTCTTCTGCTGCTTCTGCTTCTTCTTCTCCTCCTCTTCCTCCTCCTCCTCCTCCTCCTCTTCCTCTTCTTCCTCCTCCTCCTCCTCCTTCTCCTTCTCTTCCTCCTCCTCCTTCTCCTTCTCCTTCCTTCTCCTCTTCCTCCTCCCCTCCTCCTTTTTCTCCTTCTCCTCTTCCTCCTCCTCCTCCTCCCCTCCTCCTCCTCTTCCTCTCTCACTTCTTCCTCTTCCTCCTCCTCCTCTTGCTCCTCCTCCTCCTCTTCCTCCAATCTTCTTCCTTCTTCTTATTCAACTGACTGCAAATATAATGAAAACTTTGGGCCTGGGCATAGGGAAAATCACTTACAGAGATGGGTAGAATCTGGATGCCAATTTTGTTTTTGTTGTTGTTGGTCATGGGGCTTGAACTCTGGGCTTGGGTGCTGTCCCTACTCTCTTCAGCTCAAGGTTAGTACTCTACCACTTGAGCCACAGCGCCACTTCTGGTTTTCTGGTGGTTTATTGGAGATGAGAGTCTCATGGACTTTTCTTCCCCAGGCTGGCTTTGAACTGTGATCCTCAGATCTCAGCCTCCTGAGTAGCTAGGATTACAGGTGTGAGCCACCGGTGCCTGGCTTGCCAAATATTTTATAATCAGTTGCTACTTCCTTTGTCTTCTAATTGTTCTTTGGAAACCATAATAAAGCAGGAAGTGAATGTTTTTAGTGTGAAAGAGCCTTTTGAAAAAAAAATCATATCCAGCTAAAGATAAGTGGAGATGGGGCTAGGAGGATATTATGGGGAGAAATGATTCAGATGATTTTGATTTTCTGCTCATATGACTACATAAAGGTCCAATGTCAATCCCAATTATAAGTGAATTTACATTGGAGTTTCCTTAAACTGACAATTATGAGTGAGTAGAAGATAAGGGATACATTAACTTGAAGGTTCATTTATAAAAGTTACCTTTAATGTACTTTCTAGCCTTTCCATCTCACATTGTACTTGTACTCTTTTGCAGTTGTTTACTCACACATCCACTTTGAGTGGAGGAAGGAATGTCTCATGCTTGCTGTATAGGAAGGTGACTTTTTGGAAGGAAGTAGTTAGGACCAAGAGCATGACAAAAATAAGTACTTAGCAGTGCTGGTAAAAAGTATATTCGTGTAACAGAAAATACCATTCAGCTGCTGTGGTAGATACATTGAGATAAGAATTGTAGACTGTCTGTTCCCTGAACACAGTTTTCTAGTTTAGGGTGATGCAGAGAGGATTGTGAATTGATGTAGGGAATAGACTGGTATGGATGACTTTCTACAGAACAGTGAAGCCATCTTTGCTCTAACAACAGTAGACATCTGGGGTCTTCTAACAGTGGTTGATAAGGGGTATCCTGTTATTCTTTGCTCTTATAAACAATACTTTTCTCTTTCCTTGAAAGTCTCTAAGAGAGAGTATCTGGCAATGACTTGCTTGCTTCTTTTTCATGGCCTCAACAACATCTCCATTAAGGAAAAAATGGATGCCCCCCTTCTTTCAGATTTTTAAGTTGACAGTGGGGATAAGAGTAGACCAGTAGCTCAACAGCCAGGATCTGTGTGTATCAGTGAGAAGTTACTGTATATAGGAGAAGTTGGAATTAATCGTAATGAAAATGAAAAGTGCTGGCCCTTTCAGGGAGGAGTGACGGCTTTGAGAGGTCCCTGCAAGAGGCAAATTCAGTATTTGAAGAGTCACTGCATCTGGAACAAAAGGGAGACTGTGCTGCAGCTTTGGCTCTCTGTAACGAAGCTATCTGTAAGTAATTTCTAACTGCTATGGCTATGGCATTTTTATTAACTTCGCAATAGCTCTAAATATTGTCACTCGGCCATGTAAAATAGTTTTTATATTTCTTCACGCTTACATTCCCAGCTAGAGGCCCTTTAGCTATCTTTGCCCTTCAGATTTTTAACTGTGCCTGGCATTGTTACTGTGGCCTGTGGAGTTTTTACAGGACTAACATCATCAAGAATTCACAGATGAATGCTGTAGCCATGTTAACCCAAGATGTACTTAAACCTCAGAAATGAGGATCATTTGTTCTTAGTGTAGTCACTGAATATGAGTTAGAGCTTATGGTAGGAACACTGAATAAATTAGCTCTGACTTCCAGCAAGTAACTTTCCATTGCAATATTCGATTCTTTTTGTTTCTCCTCTGCCTTCCTGGTATGCAGCAACCATAATGTTACAGCAAGGGACTAAAGCTTAGAATTGATATCTGACTCTTAAATGTGACCCACAAGAAGCTGTGCTCTATAAAGACAGATGCAGGTTTGGATCTTATTTCTGCTGTTGGCCATCAGGAAGGGGGAGTTGGGAGCAAAGTGTGGAGACCAGAGTTCAACAGGTCAGTTGGAAAGGATAACAAGAGTGGCAACCTCTAAGCACTAGTTTATCTTCCTGATTTATTTTGGTTCTTTGTTTGTTTGTTTGTTTGTATTGTTTTCTTAAAATTTGAATTAACCTGTTTGGCCTCCATGGCTTCCATGAATGTTCCTTATAGCCAGAGCCAGCTGTGTGCCCTGGTTAGCATATGCATGGTCCATGCCTTGCATTCCTGTTGCATATTTTGAGTTTTATTGCAAATTTTGCTTGTTTTTGGTTCAGTTTTGTTCTTTTTATTTTTATTTTGTGTTCTGTTTCTGCTATATTTTCTTTTGCATTTTAGCTAAACTAAGACTTGCCCTGCATGGTGCAAGCTCTAGCACGCACAGCAGAGCCTTAGTCGATAAGAAGTTGCAAATCTGTATTCGAAAAGCACGGAGCCTGCAGGATCGCATGCAGCAGCAACAGTCATCGCAGCAGCCGCCGCAGCCCTCAGCCTGCCTCCCATCACATGGGGGCGCCCTCCCTCAGCCAACAAGGTAGTGCTTGGGAACCCACATTAGTTTATGGACACCAGGGGAGGAAGTGACCATGGATACTTCATAGCTAGAACTCTCATTGTCTTGGCGACTACAGGGAAGAGAGAAGAGTCCACTGGAAAGATTTTTCTTCTCTCAGGTCAGATCTACAGTGAAAAGCTCATTGCTCTGGTGGTCCTATCCATGTGTCCAAATAGCCGGGAGTGAGCTTATCTCCCTAGCTTACAATATAATTATTATGTTCTTAGACATGATGGTCTGGGCTGCCTTTCATCTTATAGTAGCAAGCCTAAAATTTATTTTGGGAGTTCAGTGTTTCCCATATCTAATGGAAATGGGGACAATAGTCTTCCTTCCTCTGATAAGACCATAGAAAGAAGACATAAAAATTTTCTTTGTTAGCTTCTCTAAGGTCAAGATTAGAAAAACGTTCCAGTAGTCATTGTTGTAGTTCTTAACAGTCTTAGCCTTTAACTTGGCTCCTACTTAAATGAATTTAAGCAAAAAGTAACCTTAATTATTAATCATTCTGAGCAGTTTTCAAAATAGAAGTATAATAAAGTGAGCTCTTTTTTGTTGTTGTTTTTCCCTTGGTGGGACTGGGACTGGAACGTAGGGCTTTGTACATGCTAGGCAGGCATTTTACCATTGGTCTACATCCGATGTGTGCTAATGTTTTATGATCTATCTAGGTTCAAGTCTAAGCTAAGCTTTTATATCTTTTATTTCATTCTCTCAATGATCTTATGAAATACTGATAATTATGTAGAATACTTACAAGTAGGGGAGGTTGAATTCAGAGGAGAGAAATAAAGTACTCAAGATCATGTAGCTGATAAGTGGTACATGGTATAGAATTCAAATCCAGATCTGTTTAGAACTGTTTTAGCATCATATTTACTCTCAAAGGAGTTTGGAGTCTAGAGCATTTCAAATTTTGAATTTTTAGATTAGGGATCTGAAATAATAGTTTCTTAAGTTTTGGAGGGCAAAATCTTGATTTTCTAGTAAGAGACACATGGGTTAAGCATCTGTAATTTGATTATCCAAAATTTGTAAAGTTGAAAGTTTAAGTACTTGTAATATTGCATTTTATTATACATACATAATTATTATTAACTAAATATGTGTAGTTAATCTCTATTCTTCTAAACATTAAGAGTCATAGAATAGTACTTTAAGGAAATATCTGAGTGACAAATACAATGAAACCTGGATTACAAATGCACATTCAAGAGAGTAGATCTCTCTGTAATCCCATGAACCCAAACCATCCTATATTTTGTAATTGTATACTCTTGGTTCCTTTGTCTCAACTACCTCATAGGATCCTCGGTAGGACTTTCTTCCTTATATAGCATCCTGGATTTTTGCTGTTTGGTATGAGTGATTTTCAAGCTCTGCTTATCTTCCATATCATCTGCATGTGAGAATAGTGTTTCTGTTTTTTAACTTGCAATTAGAATATGATTAGAATGGAACTTCATAAATAGTTTTAAAAATGTATAGGCAAGGGTACTATTTAATATTACCATATGCAGCATTTAATAGCACTGTAGTATTGCCTTTTCATCTAAGGGTGAGTGGACCATATGTCTGGGTATGTGTTTGAACCTCTGAACTATTAACTTCTTTGTGCTTATCTTTTCATTTATTCTCATTATCCTCTCTGTTAATAGTTAGAAATAGGAATTGAATTAGTAGTTCATTTTAAAAGCAGCTTATAACTGTTTTTCTCTATTTTTTTCAGTGAACAACCTGTCTCGCTCCAAGTATTGTTAAGACAGGAGGCCCAACTAGAACCCTGCACAGATACAGAGTTTGGGGCCAGTTCTTCTTTCTTTCACTCACCTGCTTCTTGCCATGTGTCACATTCATCACTATTCCCAGAATCATCTGCCCCATCTGCCCCAGAGCACAACTCCTCCAGTAGATCTTCCTCAAAGCTTCTGACTTCAGTTGAGGTGGATGGCGTTGATGCTTCTGCACTCCAAAGGCAAAGTTTACCTAAAAAATCAGGGAAGACTGAGAAGACTTCCCATCATGAATGCATGCCATTGGATGGCCTTGTGGGTAAGCTGCAAGGCTGCAGGGAGGACAACATTAACTGTAACAGGTTTCTTCCACAACAAGGACAGGGCATTGCTCAAGAACAGCTGTTCCAAGAAGAGAAGGATTCTACTGACCCTTTCCAGGTGATGCCTTGGTCACATCCAACAGGAAGAGTCACCTCGGAGACAGGAAATGCACACAGCTTAGGCTATAGTCCTTCAGGTTCATCAGCTCAGCCCAGCATTCCCCTTCATATGGCCTGTCATCCTGTAATGTCTGCTGCTTCTTCATCTGTGCTTTATTCTCCTGATCCTGTGCGGAAAACTAACCAATGCCTCCAAATTCCATTGATTTCAAAAGTAGTTGAAAGTAATGAAGAGACCTATCGGCCAGAGTTTCCCAGCACAAAAGGACTTGTCCGCTCTCTGGCAGAACAGTTCCAGAAGATGCAGAGTGCCTCCACAAGGGATGCTACAGGTTCCCAGAATCAAAGTTTGCCAAGTAGTCTAAGGAAAAACAGTTCCCCTTCTGACTTGAAGCCTTCTTTCCAACAAGGTCAAGGAAAAGGCCACTGTCCTTGGGTAAAACAAAAGCTCTCTCTGGATACTAGGGACAAACTTGCTTCTTGGGAAGAGCCTGCTGACCATACTTCTCTTGCCGTGGACACTGGGCTGCCTAATGGTGAAAGCTCTAGGGGAGGACAGCCCAGGTTGCCAGAACTAGCTATACACCAAGGGAAGCTATCTCAAATGAGAGATGTTAGGCCTAAGGAGCTTGGTAGCAGTATCAGCTTGGGGACTTGTTTGCCTTTGGATTCCTGGGTAAATGTTACAAGGCTCTGTGATTCTCAGCTTAAACATGGGCTCCCTGGCCCAGGAGCAAAGTCCTCCCCCCATGACTCCCATACCTGTGTAAACTATCCAGAGAGAAATCACATCCTTCTGCATCCACATTGGAACCAAGATACAGAGCGGGAGACATCAGAATTGGAGTCTCTCTACCAGGCCAGTCTACAGGCTTCTCAAGCTGGAAGTTCTGGATGGGAGCAGCAGGATGTAACTTGGCATCCACTTTGCCAAACAGGTAAAGATGCAGTGAAGGGTGGAGGAGAGTAAGAATACTCTGAAAAAATGCTGAAAGAGGGTTGGTGTTCTGAACAGATAGTATCCCTAGCTTAGTGAACAGTAATTATAACTTCTGACTTTACTTGTAAAATCTGGACATACCTTTTAGCCAGAGTAGTGTTGGAGACAGAATTAGCACTCACAGATCAATTCCTTCCTCATAAAGAAAGAAGACTACTCGAAGCCCTGGGTTCGATTCCTCAGTACCACATAAACAGAAAAAGCCAGAAGTAGCACTGTGTTAGCCTTGACAGTGCCCAGGGACAATGCCCAGGCCCTGAGTTCAAGCCCCAGGACTGGCATAAATAAATTAAATAAATAAATAAAGTGTACAACATAGTTTTTAATATACTAGAGTTGTCATTCTATCACTATAGTTTTATTTTCTAATTGTTAGTCACCCTTAGACCCCCCCCTTCCATATTTTGTTGTACAGTGGTTTAGACTCAAGGCCTTTCTCTTAAGTTCTTTACTATTAACCCCAGCTCACCATAGTGTCAAAGTGCGTTTAATCATCCCAAAAGGATGATTATAACTTATACCTAATAGCAGTCATACACCTCATATCTTCGATTCCTCCTCCTAACCTCTGAATCCACAAATCTATTTGTCTACTCAGGACATTGTATCTAAATGAAATTATAAAGTAGGTGGTCTTTTGTGATTAGATTCATTTTGACATGATTATATAAGCTCCATATAAATTATATAAGCTCCATATAAATCTATCTATCTATCTATCTATCTATCTATCTATCTATCTATCTATCTATCTATCTATCTATTCTGAATTTTGTAGTACTTCCAAGCCAGGTAGATATCACCTTACAGATGTTTACTTAAAAATACACAGCAACTCTGTTATGAAACATTTCAAATAAAAGTATAGAGTTAAAGTAAGTGCTTTAGTAAACTTCCAGGTACTTATCACCAGCTTCTGTGGTGGTGATTTTTTATTTAGCTGTAGCCTCTCACTCTCTTTTTCTCACTAGTTTATTTAAAAGCACATATTATTGGGCTGGGAAGGTGGCTTAGTGGTAGAGTGCTTGCCTTGCATGCATGAGGCCCAAGTTGCATTTCTCAGCATCATATAAGCAGAAAAAGCCGGAAGTGTCGCTGTGGCTCAAGTGGTAGAGCGCTAGCCTTGAGCTGAAGAGCTGAGGGACAGCACCCAGGCCTAGAGTTCAGGCCCCATGACTGCCCCGCTCCAAAAAAAGCACATATTAGATATGTATTTTTCCACTCATAATAATTTTGAATGCATCCCTCCAAAGTAATGACTTTGTGTGAAAGAGAGAGAGAAAATAAGAGAGAAAAAGAAAGGAAGGTGGGAGGGAAAATACTGTGCTGAAAAGTACTACCTGTCAGATCCTGGAGCTCATGTTCTTGTTATATCAAATGAGGTTTGATATATGATGACTGTGGTTACTCTAATTCTGAACTAGACTGAAATAATGGTGTCCTTTGTTGCCACAGAAAATCTCTATGTAAGATAATGTTCTTTCTATGCATTACAAATTTCATACCAACCTCTGTTTACAAAAATGAAATGTGACAGGATGGAGATATTCATCTGTTTTTTCATGAAGTTCTTGATTATTACAAAATTTTTTAAGGGTTGTGACCCTTTTGCACTATTTGAATCCATCCATACTCTGAAAATTATTGTTTCTAAATAATATGCTAGGAACACATTTCCCCATTGGGTTCAGGGATGAATATTTGTTACTTAGGTGCAATGTGAGCTTCTGAATCTGTACTTCCAGTCTCAGATTTGTGGTCCCCAAAAGAGATGATTTCAGTTTGTACTTATGTTTTCTTCCTGTACAGATGGCATGGGGAGGAGACTGCACTCAGCACCTGGTCTTGATCTGTCAAAGACCCCAACAGCAGAAATGGAGCACATTTTCCATGAAGTGAGCACAGTGTCTGCATCACAGGCAGCAGCTTTAAATGCTAAGGTGCTGGACCTGGGTGGTATGCTAGAAAAGCAAATTTGCTAAGAAATGAGTGGTGGTTGATGTAAGGCAGAGGCATAGTCATGTGGGGCTATCTGAAGAGTACATAGTCATTCTCTTTTTGAGTAAAAGGAGATAGCTACAGTCATTACATTTCAATAATATCTAATTTAGGTGTTTAATAGTCTACCTTATTCAATTGTCTGCCGTATCTCTGAGGAAAGAGCCTGTGAGAAAACCACAGGTCTGATATTATGTGTCTGCCTGTGTGTCTGTGTTTGAAGGCTACAGCTTGCCAAGGCCTTGGCAGGGAATATGGTGAGGATGAACAGTACAGTGCAGAGAACTTTCGCCGCATCTCACGCAGTCTCAGTGCCACCGTTGTCTCAGAGAGGGAGGAGGTTCCAGTCACTTGCCAGAGTTTTGTAAGTAGCACCAGGGTTCATCTATTCAGAGCACCTTCCTCTCTGCTAGTAAAAATACAGCATAGGTAAAAAGTAAGTAGAAACTGAAGGTTTGTGGAAAGCCATATGCATTTAGCAAGAATTAGGACACATCTTCAGAATTTTATTTACACTTGTATGGAGCTCAGACAATACCCCTTTCCTAGACAGATGGGGGTGTTTTAGAGATCCCTAGGATGAAAGCTATTGTGTCAGTTTTTATCATAATGATAATACCTGGCAGGGTGCTGCTGGCTCACACCTGTAATCCTAGCTATTCAAGAGGCTGAGATCTGAGGATCATGGTTCAAAGCCAGCCTGGGCAGGAAAGTCCGTGAAACTCTAATATCCAATAAACCACTAAGAAAACTGGAAGTGGTGCTGTGGCTCAAGTGGTCACTAGCCTTGAACTGAAGAACTGAGGGACAGTGCCCAGGCCCAGAGTTCAAGCCCCACGACTGACAAACGACAACAACAACAAAACAACATAATGACAATACTTGAGAAAACAAGGAAAAATGATCATTTTGGCTCATGGTTTCAGAGGTTTCTGTTCATATCGCTAGCTATATTGCTTTGGCTTGAACAATGGAAAACATTAGGGCATAGGGGATGTGATGGACAGAGCTTCATGGCAACTGGGAGGTAGACAGTGATAGGAAGGGGCCAGGGCCAGATATACTCTTGAAAGGCAAACTTCATGTGAACATAATTTTTTCCAATGAGGCTTCACTTCCTAGTAGTTTATTTGATGGATTAATGAGTGTATTAATCCATTGACAAAGTTAGCACTTTTGATGTAATCACCTCTGAATGGTTGGAAGCACCAGCTTGGGACCAAACCTTCAATATATGAGGCTTTTTGGACATTTCATATCCAAACCATAGCAGTAGTAATGGGAGCCTTGGGAGGAATATGAATACCAAAGGCTCTGATTGGGTCAGAACCCATGGTACTTAACAAAGGAAGAAAAAAAAATAGCATAGATTATTGTTTCACCTTTCCCTCTCTACCTACTATGTGATTGAGTGGGTCCCAGTATTATTTTCATAAGAAAATAATTTAAAATCTTCCTCCTTGAGAGTATTCATAGGGTAATAATGCAATAATCTATAATTGGAAGAACAAAAAGTAAAACCAATGCAAGTAGAGAAAATACACATCAGTAGACTCAAATACTATCATTGGCTAGGTTTGCAGGTAATACATCTTTTAACAATTTCAAGTTGTTTTCCTTTCAGTATTAGTCAGAATGCAAAGCGCCAGTACATTGATATTTGTCCACTAGGTCAGTTCAATGAAACATAAAAAATATATTTAGTAGGTTTGTAAGAAGAGAGACCTGAGCTACCACACATGTTGTGTCTTGCCATATTATAAGGGATCAAGCATGCACTTACCAGACTCTGAGCAGATATGAGTGCATCTCAGCCATCAGAAATCCAGCCTTTAAGTTCCTTAAGGCAATGGAAGTGTCTTCAGTTTTATAGTGATGCCTATTTTCAAGGTTGACTCATCCATTCTTTCCAAATTGAACTGGACTGTTTGAACAAAGCTGGATTACAAAAGTTCATTTTAGCTCTTTCCCACATTTTTTCATGTAAAATTGATGTTCAATATTTGTTGAATGAAAAAAATTTACAAACAAGGTTTTGTTTTCTTAATTAATTTGTGCCAGTTTGGGGCTTCAACCTCAGCACTTTCCCTGAGTTTTTATGCTCAAGGCTAGCACTCTAGCACTTGAACCACATCTCTACTCCCAGCCTTTTGGTAGTCAATTGGAGATTATAGTCTGACAGACTTTGTTGCCCATGCTGGCTTCGAACAATGAGCCTCCTGAGTAGCTAGAATTACAGGCTTGAGCCATCGCACCTGGCATGTTGCTTTTTTTTTTTTTTGTAATGCTGAGGATTAAACTTTGCACATGCTTGGCAAATGCTCTACCATTGAACTGCATCCCCATCCTCCTTATAGCAGGTTTAAAGCCAGGCGCTAGTAGCTTATGCTTCTAGTACTAGCTACTCAGGAGATTGTGACATAAAAGATCACAGTTCAAAGATAGCCTGAGTAGAAAAGGCCTCATAAATTCCATCTCTAATTAACTAGCATGCCAGAGGTATGGCTCAAGTGATATGGTGCCAGCAATGAGTGAGTAAGCCAAGTGAGCATGTGAGGCCTTGAGTTCAAGCTACAGTACCAGCAAAACAAAACAGGAAAAAAAAGTTTTTAAATACATGGTACAATTTGGAAGATGCAGAGAGACAGTGAAAATTGTGTCTCTGTCCTACTAGCCCTACAGATCTAGTTTCCCTCCCATGAAGCACTCATTTTTCTACATTTATTATTCATAAGGTTCTAAAAGGAATATCTGCCATTTTCTTTGGAAAAGATAGTCTTTTCTGACTAGTATTTTTTTTCATATATTTTCAAAGCATTTAGTATAATGTTAGCTTTCCTAGGAGAGTTAGCTTCCTTCTGAGTTCTTATCATGCATTTATTCACTAATTCTTTTTATGAATTAATTCCTTTCAACAAATGCTTATTGAGCTTATATTCTTGATACTGTACCAGGTGCTGGGGATACCTGGGTGAGTGAATTAGATACAGTCTCTGCTTTTATGTAGCTTACAGTATACCATAGGGTACAGATAAACGTGTAATTTAACATACCATAAGGATTTATTAGTATAGGAACATTAGAAGACTGTCTAAATAGAAATCTTACGGAAAAAAAACCATGGAAAAAAAAAAAGAAGAAAATGATACATAAGGCCTGGAGGCATGGCTCCATGGTAGAGTACCAATCTAGTAATAAGCACAATCTACTTAATAAGCACAAACCCTGAGTTTATAATAGAGATATCAGGCTTGAGGTTTTAGAAATGGCTTTCTGGAGGAGGCAAAAATGAATGTAGCAGGTAAAGAGATCTAAGCAAATATTAACTGAATTGAAAGAGGTTCATTGGTGACTAGGGAATGGGGCTCAAGTGGATTCTCTGAGTTGAATCCCTAGTAACACACACACATGCACACACACACACACACACACACACATTTGTTATGGCAGGATTAGAGTCTGGTTGAGGTGAGATGATGGAGAATGTTGACAAATGCTATAGAAAATAATACAAATTAAGGGTCAGATCATAGTCCACAGAAGGCTCTGTAGGTCATGGTAAAGAGTTTAGGAGGTTAGAGAGAAATAAACATTGGAGAGTCAATTAGAAAGTAAATATGAACGAGACTTGATATCAGTCTGCTTGAATATGGGGAAAGGAGTCAAGAATAATAAGTTTCATGGGTTGAAAATTATGTTTGGTAGGAGTGGTGTTTTATATTCAATTCTGAGTGGAAATAACTGATGGGTATGAGACATATGGGCTACAAATTGAGAATGGAAACCCTAGCCACTGAAGAGGAAAAGAATATGCAGAGAGAACAGTCAGGACAAACCTTTGAAGAAAATTAGCTTTAAGGTAGATCTTCTGAAGAAAAGGCACAGATAAAAAAAGACAAGCCAAGCCGGGCGCTGGTGGCTCATGCCTGTAATCCTAGCTACTCAGGAGGCTGAGATCTGAGGATCGCAGTTCAGCCAGCCTGGGCAGGAAAGTCTGTGAGACTCTTATCTCCAATTAACCACCAGAAAACCAGAATTGGTACTGTGGCTCAAGTGGTAGAGTGCTAGCTTTGAGCAGAAGAGCTGAGGGACAGCGCCCAGGTCCAGAGTTCAAGTCCTACAACCACCACCACCAACAACAAAAAAGACAAGATGGGCTGGGAAGGTGGCTCAGTGGTAGAGTGCTTGCCTTGCATGCATGAGGCCCTGGGTTTGACTCCTTAGTACCACATAAGCAGAAAAGGCTGGAACTGGCACTGTGGCTCAAGTAGTAGAGTGCTAGCCTTGAGCTGAAGAGCTGAGGGATAGCGCCCAGGCCCAGGGTTCAGGCCCCACGACTGACTCACAAGAAAAATAAAATAAAGACAAGAGAGCTCAAACGGAAACCAGAGAAGTAAGGTATCTAGTAGAAATATTTTTCTTCTTGAAACACTCTTCCTTGATATCCATAATAGTTATTATGATCATATGCTGGTGAAAAAAACAAATTCTGCTATTGAATAGCTTTTAGTGTGTTAAAGGAAATTAAATATATTGGCATAGAAACTGTGTATTATTTACCAAAAGTATGCACTGTTCCAGGCACTGTTCAAGGTGTTCAGAGATTCTGAAATGAAATGTATTCTAGTGGGGGAGAAAGAAGGCAAACATGATACAACCCAGAGATAAGTATGATAAAGAAGAATAAAATAACTCAAGAGAACTAGGACTACAAAGCAATAGTGGCTTTACTCAGAACTATTTTTGAGAGAACAGTGAAGGACATGAAATTTGATGAAGTAACATTTGATCAGAAGCTTCACTTTAATGAATGTTTAAACAGTGGGAGAACATTGCTAGTGACACATGAAAGGGGTATTTCTGGGTCCTTACCACAAAATAAGTAACACAGCATAAAAGCAGGGCATACATAACAATGCAAATTTGACATGCAAAAGCATTTCTGGGGAATATAGTAGTGGTAGTACAGAAGATGGAGATTCTGTATTTCAGTACTTAAGTCAGTATAGATTTTTTTCTCAATTTCTTAGTTTTTCTTAATATTTTCTTTCTCCTTTAATTTTATTTATTTATTTATTTATTTAATTTATTTATTTATTGTAATGATTGAGCCTGGAGCATGACTCATGCTCGGCAAGTGATCTAGCACTGTGCTATATCCCCATCCCTTAGTTTTAAATTTGTTTCAATCTAATTCTGCCAGTTAGCATTAAATAATTTTCTGGTTGGGCTGGGTGCCTGTGGATCATGCTTATAATCCTAGTTACTGAGGAGGCTGAGATCTGAGGATTGTAGTTCAAAGCCAGTCCAGTTAGGAAAGTCCGTGAGACCTTTATCTCCAATTAATCACCAGAAAAGTGGAAATAGCACAGTGGCTCAAAGTGTAGAGCACTAGCTTTGAGCAAAAAGAGCTCAGGGACAGTGCCTAGGCCCCAAGTTCAAGTTCCATCACTGACAAAAAAAAGAAAAAAAGAGAATTTACTGATTGGAAAAAAAAAAGAATTTACTGGTTTTGCAGACAGATACACATATAACACAGACAAACACACAGAGACATGAAGATAACATAATAAAACTATCAAACTATTTGAAAAAGTGGGGAGGAGGGAAGAAATGAGAATATGGTGGAAGTGTTAAATCTGTGCACACGTGAAATATCACAGTGAAACCCCCTCATACTACAAATATATGCTGATTTTTAAAAAATAACTTCAAAAATAAAGAAAGAATTTACTATAAAGATCTGAATGGAGTCAGGCAACAGTGGCTCAATGCTACTTAGGAGGTAGAAATCAGAAAGATTGCCATTCCATACCAAACAAAAAGTTTGGGAGATCCTATCTTAATCATAAAAGAATGGTGGTTCATATTTATCGTAACAGTTAGGTAAGAGACTGAGATCAGACTGAGGATTATGGTTTCAAGCCAGTCACACAAAAAAGTTAACAAAACCTCACCTCAACAGAAAAAAGCTAGGTGTGGTGGTGCATTACTTGTCATACCAGCTATGGTGAGAAGTATAAATTTGAGATCACAGGCTATGCTTGCTCAGGCTAAAAGTGAGAGCTTATTTCAAAGACTACCTCAGATTAAAAGTGAGACTCTATCTAAAAATAACCAGAGTTGGGGAGGTGGCTCAGTGGTAGAGCGCTTGCCTTGCATGCCTGAGGCCCTGGGTTTGATTCCTCAGCACCACATAAGCAAAAAGAAAAAAGCCAGAAGTGGGCTGTGGCTCAAGTGGTAGAGAGCTAGCCTTGAGCTGAAGAGCTGAGGGACAGCACCCAGGCCCAGAGTTCAGGCCCCACGACTGGACCAAAATAAAACAAAAAACCCAGAGTTTCCATGTGTACTGGTGGCTCATACCTGTAATCTTAGCTACTCAGGAAGTTGAGATCTGAGGATTGAGGTTTGAAGCTAGCCCAGGTTAGAAAGTCTGTGAGACTTTTCTCAAAAACAAAAAACAACAACAACAACAACAAAATACAGCCAGGCGTTGGTGGCTCACACATATAATCCTAGCTACTCAGGAGGCTGAGATCTGAGGATCATGGTTCAGAGCCAGCAGCAGGAAAGTCCGTGAGACTCTTATTTCCAATAAACCACTAGAAAATGGGAAGTGGCGCTGTGGTTCAAGCATTAGAGGGCTGGCCTTGAACTGAGGAGCTGAGGGATAGCGCCCAAGCCCAGAGTTCAAGCCCCACGACTGACAAAACAAAAACAAAAAAGCGAGCCAGGGCTGGGAAGGTGGCTCAGTGGTAGAGCGCTTGCCTTGCATGCATGAAGCCCTGGGTTCAACCATTCAGCACCACATAAGCAAAAAGAAAAGAAGCCGGAAGTGGCACTGTGGCTCAAGTGGTAGAGCGCTAGCCTTGAGCTGAAGAGCTGAGGGACAGCGCCCAGGCCCAGAGTTCAGGCCCCATGACCGGTCCCCCCCCACAAAAAGCAAGCCAGAAGTGGAGTGTGGCTGAAGTGGTAGAGCACCAGCCTTAAGCAAAAAGAACAGTGCACAAGGCCCTTAGTTCAAGTGCCAGGACCAGCACCAAAAATAAATAACCAGAGTTTAAAAGGAGTGGAGTTGTGGCTTAAGTAGTAAAACACTGGCCTAGAAAATGTGAAACCCTCCCTAGTACCCAAAATGCCAGAGAGAGAGAGAGACACACACACACACACACTCACACACACACACACACACGAACTTCAGGGATCTGATGAAAGTGGTGACCTAATATTTCGAGTTTCCTTAAAGGATTGACAGAGTGTCTGAGTAAATTGGATCCCTCTCTAGAGTAAGCCATGCTTGTGCTCTGCTTCCCTTCATTTCCCTCTGCTCGCCTCACTGTGTTTACCCAACCACATCCTGCTGTGTTAATCCTCATCTTTATGGTTTTTGTCTTGTCTCATTATAAGGATTCATCACACGTGCGGAAAAAGCCTTTGGAAACCGAGCACCGTTGTTCCAGCTCCTCTTCCCTCCCTGTCATCCATGACCCTCCCATATTTCTCCTTGATTCCCAAGTCTACCCTTCCCAACCACAGTTCCTGTCCCCAGATGTCCTGATGCCCAGCGTGGCAGGGGAACCCTGTAGACCCCCAGGTAACTCCTCCCAATCTAATATTATAAGCCAGAATGTGGTACCTTTCCAGGGAACTTTAAGGGTTAAATCTGTATATCTGTTGAAAGGGCAGGGTATCCCAAGAGGGAGTGGTGTAAGGACATGAATTCTGCTTTAAAATCTAGTATTGATCTCTATGAGTTATGACTGAGTCATTTCTTAGGCACATGGTTTTTAGTCTGAGTTCTAAACTGGCACACCTAAGAATCTAGATACTTATAAGATTGAATTGTATTAGTATTGATAGAATAAGCTTTTTAATGACCAAGAGGAATTAATAGTTAATCTTTGGGATCCTTCCAAACAAAAAGTGTTACATATATCAACTAATTTTCCCTCTTATTCACTGAATCTCAGCTGAAGGATGGTGTAGGACGACAAAAATAAATGGGAAACTGGAAAGACATTCTATCTGGAGAACCCATGTCATGGGTATAGACCCAGAAGATCATGAGGATGATGGGCAGCATCATTGACTTTCATTGACCCTCCCCAGTAAAATACTCTCCTTTTCCTCCTCATGGTCTGAATCTGCAGCTTAATGCTATAGCTCTCAATAGGGGGAAAAGAAAGTACTACAGATACCTAATGAGTAGAGGCCAAGGGAACTGGTAAATATCATAGGGTAGACTCTTCTTGCTTCCCAACAAAGAACTATCAGTCCATATCACTAGTGCCAAGTAAATATACAGAGACATTCTACATTGTGTATGTGGGAGGAATGTTAGGAACAAAAGCAGGTATCTCAGACACTGAACAAGAATTTAAACAGGCAACTAGAATGAAGGGTAATTGCTGTAGTAGAGTCATCATCATCTCAGAAATGTATTTGTTATGTTAAGGAACGTTGTGTGTGTGTGTGTGTGTGTGTGTGTGTGTGTGTGTGTGTGTGTGTGTGTGTGTGTGTGTGTTAAAGTGATTACAGTGGATAAATATGCATGTAAGAGACTATTTCACTGGCCCAAGCTGGAGATGAGACTTGATTTTGATTACATTAATCATTTTAAAAATAAAGTGAAAAGCAAAAGTAGGTTTTTTCTTTCTCTCATGTGTATGCTTTTGAAGGATTGAAGTTGGGTGATACTACCAGGCATGATCATCTGGAAAGAAAGATTATTTTCTTTAGGTGTTCAGTCTTTAAGTTTCTTTTTTCTTCATAGGAGCATCAAGGAGTGTCCAGCAGTTTCTGGCTATGTGTGACGGGGGTGAAACTTCCCAAGGGGTCAAGTACACAGGAAGGACTTTGAACTACCGGAGTCTCCCTCATCGTTCCAGAACTGATGCCTTCCGGGAACCCTGGTCAGAGACCCACCAGCACTTTGGAGCCAGATACCTAACTACTCCAGGATGCAAACCTCCGCTTACCCACACTACCACATTACCAGAAAGAAGTCAGGGTCTTCAGGTTCCTCATGCTCAGGCTGGAGGGGATCTTTTCCATTCACCCTCTCATCCATCCACTGTTCACCCTATGTCCCTATCATCCCCAAGGTCAGCTTGGAATTCGGGTCCTATTCCAGGGTCCCGAACACCTGGTCCTCGAAGAGTAGATATACCCCCAGATGATGACTGGAGGCAGTGCAGTTATACTTCCCAATCTAGGAACAGGAGGGCAGAGGAAGAAAGGTTGTTGTGTGTTCTAGCAGAGGTTCTTGGAAGAGAGCAGAACAAAACTAGAATCCTGCAGCATAGCAGGTGGTAAGGGTCATCCCTTTTGTTTCCTGGAGCCATAAAACACAACTGGCAGAGTTGCTTACCCTGCATCTCTGCCATAGTCTTGCTATTCTCATCTCAACACAGAATTGGCAGTTTCTCCCCGGGGCACTGGTTACCTCTAAAGAGACCTGGTTCTTTAAATAAGAGGGAATATTTGAAATTACAACTTTAATTCCCCTACTAAAATGAAGCAGCTGCTGTTTTGTGTTTGAGCCACTTTAAGGCTGAATCCATCATATTATTCCTGATACTAGTCATTAGTGACTTCAGGTCAATTCTGGACAGTAATGCCCCCACCTCTACCTAACATCCATTTTCTGGTCTCTACTATCTTCCCAACTTACACACTTTTTTTTTTTTAATCTGCCTAACCCTATTACCTGACCCTCTGTATTCCCCATTTCCCATCCTCAAAGGTACATGTAGCCTTGTGGTCATGGTCATCACCATGACCCATCATTCAGGGCAGCCCATCTGCCCAGGTGTTATGGCCTGCCAGTCTTCCCTGTGCCCCACACCATAGGCCTAGATATATGGAACTGCCAATATAACACTTGCCCTTCTGAACAGATATAGTCTGGCACATTAACATATCCTTTTGTCTTCAGCAGCAGAACCATTACTGCCACTTGCTCATTCGCCATTGTAAATCCTCAGAGTCTGCTGAACTATTTTAGGGCAAAACATACTCTTTTTGTAAAGTATTTTTCATTAATAAATCTATATGACAGTTCTATTTAATCTCTTGTTGTTTTGTATGTTGGTGCTCTTTTGTGCTGGGGTGGGAAGGCCTAGACATACATATGTAGGGATTGTTTTACTTAAAGGAGGCAAAAGGAGTTGAAGGATGTATATTCAAGGTGGGAGTCATTGGGCCCTTGTTATTTCTGCTGCTAGCATGTTTGCTTTCCCTTTCCTGATAAAGGTACTCAATACACTACACATTCCATTCTTCCACTCCTAAGGGAGATTCTCTGGACAAACTACTCTGACAAACTCACTCCTGATCTCAGTACTATTGGTGTCCCCCTGCTATGTTACAGGTTTGTGATGTGCTCTATTCCCACAGTCCTCAAAAATAACTAAGGACTGATCATTGGAGATGAGGCTCAGATGATAAAGCACCTTCCTAGCAAGGGCATGATCTGAGTTCAAAATTCATACTCCAGAGGAAAAGAGTGCTTTTGCAAAGAGGGCCCATTGAGCTTTCCCTTGTTATTACTCAGTCTCAGGAACTTTGAGACTAACACAAAAAAGGAGAAATTGCTAAGACTTTTATTTACCTGATTATCACCATCTATTATGAACATATTCTAAGCACATTTTATTCAGCAGGATGTCCAGGAATTTCACACACCATACCGTTTGATGTGAGATGCCACTTTCGTCCTATACCCTAAAGATACATACATCTTCATAGATATGCTGGTCCCTGGCCAGATTTCTAATCATTGTTGATGGGGCAGTCTTATTGTTCCTCAATCTCCCACCCCAAGAACATTGGTCATACTGTGTTTCTATAAAGATTCCCTAAGTCACCTGAAGCTCAGATTCTGTGTATGCACACAAGGAACTAATTTCCTATTTACTCCTTTTCTGCTTTGGTACTACATTAGTGCTAGTACTTGGGCTTGAACTCCATGGCCTCATACTCTTGCTTAGCTTTTTTTTTTTTTTTTTTTTTTTGCCCAAGGCTGGTGCTCTACCACTTGAACATACACCTTCACTTCTGGCTTTTTGCTCGTTAATTGGAAATATGAGTTTCCCAGATTTGTCTGCCTGGATTGGCTTTGAACTGCAATCTTAAGATCTCAGCCTCCTAAGTACACCACCAGTGTCCGGCCCCTGCCTATTGCCCTGCAGCCTTCTGAATCTAAATCAAGAAAGAAGCCATTTTCTTTTTAGGTGAATCCTCTAAGATTCTGAGTATATCTTGGGGTCATTCTTGGTGTGCTTCCTCTTACTGCCTTTTGAGTCTCAACCCTTGGACCCTACACTGTTTCAGATGCATTTTGTGCCTTCTAATTCTAAATACAATTTGAAACTCTAAACATGAGATTCATAATTCTATTTCAAACTCTTTTTTTTTTTTTTTTTCTTTTTGGTTGTTGGGCTTGAACTCGGCCTGGGCGCTGTCCCTCAGCTCTTCAGCTCAAGGCTAGAGCTCTACCATTTGAGCCACAGCGCCACTTCCGTTTTTTTCTGCTTCTGTGGAGCTAAGGAATTGAACCCAGGGCCTCATGCATGCAAGGCAAGCATTCTACCACCGAGCCACCTTCCCAGCCCCTCAAACTCCATTTTGAATGATGTTTTTGCCTGTCTCCTGTCAATCTTGCAGTATTCAGGTCTGGTGATTAAATTGTTACATATTTTTTTTTCTATTGGTTGGATGTTCTGAGGTTTGATTGTCTCTTTATTTTGCTGAGTATTCAGTTAGAGTGTTTTTCCTTGTACTTATTTATCACTGTAACTAGCCATGCAGTCTTGTTTCTACACATTTAAGAATTTAAACCTGATCCCTTGGCCAGGTTCTGTTTCTCTACTAGCTTCAGTAATTTTGCCCGAGTCCCTGGAGTCTGCCCCGCCTCCGCCCCCGCACGCGCGGTGCATGCCGGTCTTCGCCCCTCTGAAGGGAAAGAGGTCCGCCATGTTCCCCGGCGGCGCCGCCGCTTGGCTCTGGTAGCCGCCGCCCCCGCCCCCAACCCCGCCCGGCCCAGCGCCTAGCCGTGCCCCGGGCCCCAGCATGGCCGCCCCGGAGCCGGCTCGGGCCGCACCGCCCCCGCCCCCGCCCCCGCCGCCCCCTCCCGGGGCTGACCGCGTCGTCAAAGGTGAGAAGTGGACGAAGGCTCGGGGGCCTGGCGTGAGGAGCCCGGCCCCCGAGAACGGGCCTGGCCGGGCGGCGGCGGAGCGACTGGCTGCCTCCCTCGGGGAGTGGCCCCTGGGCGGGCCCCTGCTGGGCCGGGCCGGCTCGGCTGGTCTCCCGCTCGTCTTCAGGCCGGGGCGGGGGGGGGGGGGGGGGGGGGCTCGCTGGATTTTCTCGCCCAAGCTTCGCGGCTACTCGCTGTCGTGAGCCGGCTCTTTGCCTACCACTCGGCCTGTCAGAGCGGCGAGGGGGCCGCAGGCTGCTTCCGGCCCCGGGACAGCTGTGCTCTGGCTGGTCAGCGCGGACCGAAGGGCCCGAGCCCTTCAGCCACGCCGCGCAGGGCGGGCGATGAGCCGTCAGAAATCGCCTGGGCTTTGGCTCACGCCTGCTCCCCAGTGACAGCCATCCGCCCGATGTGCGCCTCGCCCGCGCCGGCCGCAGGGGTTCGCGCTGGGCCCTCAGGTGCCACCCCGCGCGGAAAATGGGGGAACCTTAGGGGATTGGACCAGGGTGAAGGATCCAGGACGGATCGAGAAGCCTAGATTTATACGTACAGAACAGGAGCTGCTGGAGTGTGGGGGGAGGGGGAACAGCACAGCAAGAATTTAAAAAGCCTCGTGGATAGGAAGAAATATTTACTTAGAAAAGCGTCCGCACTTTTTGGTAGGAAAGGGTTTTGCCCTTCCTCTCTAAACACACACCCACACACTCCCCAAGAAGACAAAGTTAAATGTTCTCTGAGCTAGGGAAGACTTTATGTGGATGTGTGCCCACAATAGGTAAGCAGACTTCTTTAAAATAAGGAAATTGAAAGCTAATTGAGAGGATTCCAAGCTCTCTTGGAGAGCTCATTAACCTCTAACACCATCGTAGGATGGAAAACCAACTTTGACCTGTTTGTTCTTAACCATGTAGTTGGTCTGTAAGTTGACATTTATATTACGTTTCTTTTTTTTTGGGTCCGGTCGTGGGGCCTGAACTCTGCGCTTGGGCGCTGTCCCTCAGCTCTTCAGCTCAAGGCTAGCACTCTACCACTTGAGCCACAGCGCCACTTCCGGCTTTTTTCTTTTTGCTTATGTGGTGCTGAAGAATCGAACCCAGGGCCTCGAGCATGCAAGGCAAGCGCTCTACCACTGAGCCATCTTCCCAGCCCCATTACGTTTCTTTTTGAAAGATCCTTTGTGTGTGTGTGTGTGTGTGTGTGTGTGTGTGTGTGTGTGTGTGTGTGTGTTATTCAGCGTCTCAAATATTACTGGCATAGTGCTTAAACAGCCCAGTTTTGAAGGCTGGCCCTATTTTTCCATTAAAACATTTTAAAATAAGAAAATTGGCTTTTTGTGTGTGCTTTTTAAATTAAAAAATTAAGGCAAAGCTTCTGGTTCTTAAAATAACGATACTAATTTGTACTAAGGCTAATGTGGACTTTAAGCTAATAAATGTATATCCATGGGCAGGCATTGGAATAAACAATAGTTTTCTCAAAAATCTTTTTAAAACGCGAAGGATCAAAGAGAGATATGATAGTTCAGTAGTTGTCCATCCTTTCAAGAAATCCTGAAGTTTTAGAAGAAACATTGGCCACTGCTTTCTTTTCTTTTCTTTTTTTTTTTTGGTCCTTTGTGGGTCTTGAACTTCGCCTGGGTGCTAACTAACATTCCAAACAATGATTTTACTCTATGCTTGTGAATCTTATTCCTTGTCATAGTTAGAAGTGTTTTTCATGTACTGCTTTAAGGCAAGCATAAGGCAGAATGCTGAGGGTTGAGTTGTATCCAATACAGTCATTTTTACAGTTTTTGGTATAGAATAAAGGCTGTTCACTTTATGTAAATATGAAATGAGCTTGCTAATATAGAAACATGTAGTTAAGCTGGGTTCTGTAATCTTAGCTACTCAGGAACCTGAGATCTGAGGATCACTGTTGGAAAATAGCCCAGGCCCCCAAAGCCTTCAGACTCTTACCTCCAGTTAGCTAGTACAATGCCAGAAGTAGAGGTATAGCTCAAGTGGCAGAATGACAGTTTTAAGCAAAAAGCTAAGCCAGAGTGGGAGGCCCTGAGTTCAAGCCCCAGTATCAGTGCAAGTGAAAATTTAAAGAAGATTATAGTTAAATAGAGCTTAGAGTTATCATATCTCATGCTCTTAGTTGTATCCTCTTCATGGAGACAACTTTCCTTTGTTAGCTAATTGGAATTCCCCATATGTATCTATATGTATCCCATGTTTGTTTTGCCTTTTTTTTTTTTTTTTTGTCTGTGGTGGGGCCTGAACTCTAGGACTGGGTGCTGTCCCTCAGCTCTTCAGCTCAAGGCTAGCACTCTACCACCTGAGCCACAGTGCCACTTCCGGCTTTTTTCTTTTTGCTTATGTGGTGCTGAGGAATCGAATCCAGGGCCTCATGCATGCAAGGCAAGTACTCTACCACTGAGTCACCTTCCCAGCCTCTATCACATGTTTATAACAGACTAGTTTGCACTGAGTGTGGAGTCTTTATTTTTTTGGGGGGGGTGGGGGGGGTCTGGTTGTGGGGCCTAAACTCTGGGCCTGGGTGCTGTTCCTCAGCTCTTCAGCTCAAGGCTAGCGCTCTACCACTTGAGCCACAGTGCCACTTCCGGCTTTTTTCTTTTTACTTATGTGGTGCTAGAGGAATTGAACCCAGGGCCTCATGCATGCAAGGCAAGCACTCTACCACTGAGCCACCTTCCCAGCCCCTGAGTGTGGAGTCTTTAGCTTCCTCTATAGTTACTTGGAAATCCAGCTTTCATACAGATCTTATACAAACCTACTTTAGAATTTCTTCAGGCTTCTTTTTTGTCTCATACATTTGGTGGTTGTACTATAATATTACATTTGACGATTAGAACACTAGTTTTCT